ATTTGGATCGATAACAGTTAGGCTCTTGTGAGCCCTTATATGAGCTGCTATTTTGTCGTTATTACCGAATTCAAAAAACAGTAAAGGTCTTAACTGAAACTGATGAATTTACCTTCCCCCAGTGCGGTACCCCCATCACTAGGAAGAAATCAGCTCCACTCGAGGTTTGGTTTAGCGATCCTATATGGGTTACCTGATTTTTCACGGACACGAGGAAGTGTTATTCATGTGATTGTTCACATCCTTGGGTTTCGTTATAGGTTGCTAGTAGAAGGAGACGGGGCTAGGGGGGGGGGGCGGCGGGAGAGGGACTTCAAAAATCAGGATATAGTTAAATATTTAGCGTGGTTTCTTCTAGGTAGTTAGTGTAGTGGGGCCAAATAAAGGAAAATGGGACTAATCTTCCACAGCGTTGATGTCCTTGGGTTGTTCTGGCCGGTTTGGTACGTAGGGATTTGGGGGTATTCCGCGGGTGGGAAGGGGGGGGGCGGGACGAAACAGGTATTTAATGTACAGTACTTGTACATGGATCGGTAGGTTATCACATCCGTTTTGAACTTATTCCCATTTCACATTGTCACTTGGTTTGGGTTTGGCAATTCTCGCCATTCTGGGCTAGGTAGAAGGCACAAGGGGTGAGAGAATAGAGGACAATCAATCTGGTTTGGTAGGGAAGGTTTGGTGGTTTGTAGGAATAATTCACTGATTGAAGATAAGTGAAGAGGGAAGCAAAAGAGAGGGAGAAACTGAGAAATAAATAAATAAATAAATAAAAAAAGAAAAGAAAAGAAAAGCTCATGAAACTTTGAGAATGTTCATTCATTGTGTGAAGCATAGATTGCATTAATAATTGTACATGTTTATAAAACATGTGAAAAGAAGGTAGCCTTTTTTCCCCGTTAACTAACTAGAAAAAGAAGTTAAAAAAGTTCGACGATGAAACAGATGTAGACGCGAGGAGATTTCAATATATGAAAATAAAAAAATAAAACAAAAGTGCAAATCTGAAAGTTGAATAGAAAGACACGTACAAATGAAAGTGACAAAGGCAAAGAAAAAAATGCACCTCGTGTGTGATTACATAGATCATGACATAGAGACACAGGCAAAATCGACGCCCATGGTTTGTGAAAAGGAAATGCAATATAAAAAGCTTTCAACTGCGAGGCAATGAAGTCAGAAAAAAAAAAAAAAAAGGGGGGGGGGGGGGGGGTTGGTTGGGAGAAATTGGAGAATAGAGGGAGGTAAAAAAAAAATCAGGTCGTGTGCGTTTCCGACATAATGACATCAAAGGAGAAACAGATAAAATAAGGAAATGAAGTGAAACTCGGGAAGAGTAGATAAAAACATAAGAGAATCGTAATAAAATGGTGGCTGTTGGTTGAAAGGCGAGTGGGAAGGGGGGTAACTAGAGCTAAAAAGAACGTGACTGTGACGAACGTTGAGCGCGGAAAAAAGAACGTTATCAATGCTGTAAGGATTGACGGGGAATTGGGAAAATCTTCTGGAAATGCAGCCTGACAAGGACTACGCTCGGAATCGATATGGATAAGGATTGATTGAAGCACTCTCTCTGTTTCGATCTTGCGCGGGTTTCGGGCTACATCCATGCAATCCATTGGGAAGCTCTTCTGTAGATGGTCCGCGAATTCAAATCCCCCCGGAAGCGAAACAATAAAGAGGATAACCCTTTGAAAAGTTGAGCCGACCCAAATACGCCGAAGGAAAACAATTTAGCTCCCGTGCAGCAAAGTCCAAAACTTTTCAACTTTTCGGCAGTCCACATGATAGAGCCGTTCCCGTCTCGTTTCGCTGGTTCGTTCACTTTTTTTCATGATGTCACACCCCATTTTGGATACACAGGTCAACATATCTTGAAAAATCCACCTCGGGAGTGGCACAAGCCAGATCGCTCTACTCCCCACTCTCTCATCTGGTTCTCTCAGAATTGCAGCGCTGCACATAATTCATCGCCGTATCGGAAGTCCTTCCGTATGCTGCGGTGGACTAGTACCCGCGCTCCCCTCTTGCCCTTTGGCGGTTGTAGAAGTAGTTGTAGCTTTCTTCGCATCAGGGGATGAGGACGCTGCTGCCGCCTGTGGTTGATCCGGTTCGTCGTCGATGCTAGTTTGTCGGTTTAAGAAGCTGCTCTCTTTGACGGGACTGCGGCTGATGCTGGCGTGGAAATTATGGTTCGAGACCCCATGCGGCTGGAGACTGGAGTGTGGACCGTTATTGAAGGGACTGGGGATGCTGCTGCTGGGGGGCGGGGAGGTGGCAGTTAGGTGGGGGATGTTTTCTGGGAGGGGATGCCGGGATCCGATGCTGGTAACGCCAACGTCTGAGGCTTTGCCGGCTTTGCTGAGTGCGTAGTCTCCTGAGTCGAAGTATTTTCGTTCCTGGTTTGGTGAAAATGGGGGAGGTGATTTGTTAGTGATGTAGATTGATTTACCGCGGAACAATGGAGGAGGGATGTGGTGAGGGTGTGGTGGAAACATGTGCATCGATTAAGGCATTGAAGGAAAGAAAGCGTATAGCAATTCATTGACATACCTTCAGCTTATTCTGCAGCAAATCCTTCTTGGTGGGCATTTTGCCATAGAGCCGGAATAATCTTTGCTCGTCCGGGCTGAGCGACTGTATATTGCAGTGAGGTTAGCTAGATTCTGGACAAAACGAGAGAAGGTCAGGGCAAAGTGGTCAGGGTTCCGCTCACGCTAATATCCACTTTGTTTTTCTGATGAGGATTCATCTTTCCAGGTCGACTGGACTTTTTCACCAGTAGGGAGAGAGCAGGTGTTTAGGTGCTTCTCGGTTGTTGTTTCAAACTGCTATGCCTTTGAGGGATGTGAGATTCAACCGGAAGCTAAATTCCGAGGAGCGAAAGCCAGGTATGGCAGCACGACAAATGAGAGACAGGGTATCTGCAGTCCGAGATAAAGTAGCACGATGTTTGGTCCAGAAGTAGAATGATGGTGAGAGTTGATGACGAAGGTTGAAACAGTCTCGGAGGTTCTGGCTGAAGTCGGTGGTCGTTCGTTATCGATAGGATGCGAGGGGGGGGGAAGATAGTGGGGGGAAATCCTGATTGATAAATACACGCGGGATTACAGCTGAGAAGAACCGACGAATCTCACTGAGCTTGAGGGCGTCCCAGAACGAAAAATGGCAAATACGGAGTTTGTGTAGTTGGAAGATGATGACAACGGTGAAGGGAGTTGGGGAAAAGAATAATATTTTAAATAAGGTATTTCCCTGATGTGAATTCCAGAAATATTGCCAGTTATGGATAAAATACAGGGTGATAAATATGCCATCCAACAACACATCCTTATAGCCACAGCAATGGTTATGGACAGGGAAGGGGGCGCTAAGAGTTTAGTTAAACTTGGTTAAAGACGATTAACTAAATCACTAAATCAGCCCCCAAAATCCAGCCCCTACCTAGCAGGTTTGTCCGGTAAGTTTATTACATGACCCAACCACGGCCTGTTACAATACGTAATCTACCTACATAGCAAGCACGCACTTACTCACCTCGAGCTGGGTATCTGTTGGGATGGATTCACTTCAAAGTATGTATTAGTTATTCCCCTCGACAATGTCGAAATAAAACAAGAAAGATACATCTATCGGATTTCTATCTTAAGAAATGGAATAAAAAAGCTGCCGAGATAAACTTGAATATCAACAGTGCGGTATGGTAATAGTCGTAATACGTACCAGTAGTTACGGGAGTAACATCCATAATTCCGCCCTGTCACCTGACATCATTGCCCAAGGAGGAAAAACGGCTAAACAATCGCCAGCAACTTATTGAGTGGTAGCATTTAAACCAGGCCAGGCATTTGACAGTTCGACAGCAAGGAAATCGAACGAAGGAGCTGATCGGGAAAGAGCTTTTTTTTTTTTTTTTTTTTTTTTTAATCTCGAAAACATAGTTAGCCTTTCTCCCCTCCCTCATTGGTTTAAATAATATTTTTTTAAGCATTTTAGAGTGACCAGGAGATCGCGCCGTTGGATGGTGTAGTTCTCCACCCCTATCAGTTACTATATTTTACCATTACTCCCCCTATCAGGAATATACCAACGCAGAAGATAAAGGAAGTGGAAGAATTCGGGCAGTTTAATCACTGAACGTGCTGCTAATCCCATATTATATACCTGCACCTGGGAAAAGTTTGCTACTCAGGTGAATCCGCAAACACAAAATCCAGCATTTCGCATATTTCCCATTTCAATTCTCAGAAAGAGACGAACAAAAAGCTAGGAAAAAAATATGAATAACGAATCTCAAACACAGTCATCGACATCGACCTTTGTAGTCGAACACCTGGACCCAGAACTGGGCGCCTGGTCCGCTCTGGAATATGGCTGCATTGCTCGAGAGTCCAGCGCCGCTGGCGCAAGATTTCTCCTGACATCGGTACCGGAGTCATTAAAGATGCCCGATGAGCTTGCTACGCTAAGCAGCTTAGAGGTGGAGCATAGGGGGGTCGAAGACATTTTTGCAGATAGGAAGGAGAAAGTATGCCTACTGGATCCGTCAGCGAAGACGGAGCTGTGTCCACAGGATGGGGATGAGTTTGAGGTTTTCTTGTTTGGTGGGATACTTGGTACGGTTGAACTACGATGACTAGTATGGTGATGGTGAATATATTATGAAGGAACTTGAAAGCATGTGGAAATATGCATCAGTCTCGACATATTATGTATCACTTTGATGAAGAATAAAAACAGAAGACGAGACGAAACTAATTGATTTTTATTCTTTCGTGTTCAGGTGATGATCCCCCCCGAGGTACGTGTTTCTGCATACCAAAAATATAGCGCCCCCTGAATTCAATATGTATGTACACCACAGTCGGGACTGATGAATACTGATTCCTACCCGCCAGACCGCACATCGGAGCTACGTCAGAAAGGTTATGCGGGTCGCAGATTAGGGCCCAAACAAATGACGACTGACACCGCAGTCAGAGTGACCAGAATAGTAACGCAAGGCAAAGGTGAGCATTGCGAGCAATGCGAGGTGTTAAGTTCATAGTTCCGAAAATTCCTACTAACCAGAACCCCTACCTCTCCGAATAGTGCCATTGGAGGATATTCCCTATGTGGACTTCCCGGAGCTACGTCTTAATGAGCACGAAAGTACTGAGATGCCATTTCGATATGTGAAGGGTGAAGATGGAAAGCCGATTATGCCTGAGGTTAGTTGGAGCTGTTCGAGCTTTTGACCCTTTTGAATCCTTTCCGATTTCGTACAGTAAATACTGACAATGTTTGATAGGGGATGGTTGAGCTGATCAAAAGCGACTCGGATAAGGGCCTGGACGATCTTCTTTAGGGAGTAATGAATAAGAGAGGATTTTACCGATAGAGAAAAATATGAATTTTCCAGACCAAGTCATGAGAAAGCCGTCTTGCCAAGGCTTCCTTTCCCGATGTGACTTAGCGTGACTTGATCGGACAAGAGGCTGTAAATCACGTGATAATCGTAATTTACAGATAAGACAGATAACTATCAACTATGCAACCCTCTCTAGTTATCAACAATCGTCTTTGACCCCTTTTCCCTTCTCTCATTATATAAATTGTTTAGACCACTATCATTTCTCTCGTTCACTCTGCTTTTAAACAGTTCATGTCTTATTGAATAACTCTGTTCTCTAAATCCTATCCGCTCGACATCCCGAAACTACTCACGACCGTGATCTGTCTCCGATTTGCAATCCGCCGTGCTCCGCCTGGCTCATCCGGACAGTCTCCCAGGACCTCAAATCCCTTCACACATGAGGTTTTAATGTGTACTAAGTGAGGGCGGTGTGGAATTTCCCCCCTCGTTTGGGACGACCCCTCGTTGCGGTCAAACCACCATGGGTTTCTCTGAAACTCGAGCCTACTCGGCATGGGGCGCCTGGTCGACATGGCTCACAATCTGTCTAGCGCTGGCAAACTTACTCCCTGTCACTGCGAAGTCTGCAGCAGATTATTTTGTAGATTCACTGCCGGGCCAACCTGAAGGCCCGCTGGTGAAAATGCATGCTGGGTGAGTACCATATTCACGTAATAAGGGGAGCTGTTAGGAAATCCATTCTAATTAAAATATCTTATATCTATAGGCACATCGAAATCAACCCCGAAACTAGTGGAAACTTCTTCTTCTGGCATTTTGCCAACAGTCACATTGCCGATAAACCACGGACCATAGTATGGTTGAACGGGGGACCTGGCTGCAGTTCAGAGGACGGCGCGCTCATGGAAATTGGACCATACAGGGTTACAGATGATCATATGCTAAATCGTACGGACGGCTCTTGGGACGAATTTGCCAATTTACTGTTTGTGGATCAGCCGGTGGGCACTGGCTTTAGCTATGTCAGCACGGGGGCCTACGTCAGTGAGCTCGATGAGATGACCTCACAGTTCGTAACGTTTATGGAGAAATGGTTTGAGCTGTTCCCACATTATGAAAAAGATGATGTAAGACGGTGATTTTTTTGCCCCCTACCCCTTGTTTAAAGACGATGTCAAACATTTTTTTTTGCTAATGGCAACTCGTTTTAGCTTTATTTTGCTGGAGAATCGTATGCGGGGCAATACATACCGTATATCGCACGTGCAATTCTCGATCGGAATAAGAAGGAATCAGTGCAAGCACAAAATCGACAGTGGAATCTTAAAGGCCTCCTCATTGGCAATGGCTGGATATCCCCTCGGCACCAATATCTGTCTTACCTGCCCTACGCTTATCGGGAAGGAATAATCCAGGGTGGGACTGACGCATCACTCCGCGTCGAGGCGACAATATCGAAATGCATGAAGAAATTGAACGTCGAAGACACCACTGGGACTATACATATTGCCGACTGCGAAGACATCCTCCAGACGATTGTCGATGAAACACATAAAGGAAACCGTTGCATCAACATGTATGATATCCGTCTTACAGATGCATACAGCGCATGTGGTATGAATTGGCCTCCAGACTTGAAGAATATAGAGCCATACCTCCGGTATAAGAATGTCACAGAAGCGTTACATATCAACAGTGACAAACAAACTGGCTGGACTGAATGTTCGGGTGCAGTAGGTGGCAACTTCAGGGCCCTGAAATCTAAGCCATCCGTCGAGCTACTTCCGAGGCTCCTCGAAGAGGGCCTTCCCATTCTTCTATTCAGTGGCCAAAAGGACCTAATATGCAATCACATGGGCACCGAAGACATGATCAAAGACATGAAATGGTCTGGCGGGACAGGATTCGAACTCTCCCCGGGCGTCTGGGCCCCACGACAAGATTGGACCTTCGAAGGCGACTCGGCAGGCTTCTATCAACAGGCACGAAACCTGACATACGTCCTATTCTACAACGCCAGCCACATGGTACCCTTCGACTACCCACGGCGCACCCGCGACATGCTCGATAAATTCATAGGCGTCGATATCACAGACATCGGCGGCAATCCTGCCGATTCTCGAATCGGCGGCGAAAAGGGCCCCACCACCTCCGTCGGCGGCCATCCAAACAGCACCACCGCCGCTGAGCGCGAGAAGGAGAAGATGAAGTCCGCTGCGTGGAAGGCATATTACAAATCCGGCGAGGTGGCGCTTATCGTCGTCGCCATCGCCGCTATCATATGGGGCGTTTTCATCTGGCGGTCGCGCCGCCAGAAGCTCCGGAACCCAAGCCATGAGTACCGTGGCATATACCCGATGCTGGGATCGAGTAGCTCGGGATCCCTGCCCAGGTTTTCAAATAAACGGGGTAGAAGTGCGGATGATGTTGAGGCGGCGGATTTCGACGAGACGGAGCTGGATGAGCGGCCGAGTCGCGCTGTGTCGTCGAGATCGAGTAGAGAGCATGAGCCTTATGCTATTGGGGAGGAGGACGGGAGTGATCGGGAGGGTGAGGGGTCTGATGAACGGAGAAGACTCGTTGATAAATCGTGAGGGAACGGGGCAGGGGCAAGAGGATGGGCGGGGTTGACCTGGAACACAGTAAACTACTGGCCATGTAACCCTTGAAAGTCACTTCTCTCAGTCTACTCCGAATATCCCAGAACGTCCTCACATCTATCTGGCCAGCCGAGCCAACAACCGAAAGGTTCTTATTCCTTAGAATACCACCCTCCTATCTACCTACCTACCTACCTATCCAACTGGCGCCTTTTGTCCCTATACTTCTTCCCCTTCAACCTTCAACTTCCTATCCATTTTATTCTACGCACTACCCCCTTCTTATCATCTACCAAAGATCATCATATTATATAATATATTCATGACCTTTTTGTTCACTTGATTTTTCTTTCTTTTCTTTTCTTTTCTTTTCTTTTTTGGGTTGCTAGGCTTATTATTACATGCAGGGTGTTCGGGAACCTTTTGTTAGAGCTCATCTTATATTTTGCTATGCATTCAGTTTGTGATTTCCACCATTTATAACGTCGTATTTTGGCGCTCTGTTTTTTTACTGGATACATACCTAGGCATATATCTTGATTCCACCTCGATATTATCTTCATGTCTTGTCTTGCTGCTATGCTTTTTTCCTAGCTCTGTGTCATTCTCGTACGAAGCAAGGTGTTGTTGTGCAGGGATATCTAGCTATTTCTTTAAGGTTTCTTGAATATTTCTGATGCATCGATTCATTTGAAAGAGATTTATTACGTGCGAAGTTCATCAGAATGCATAACATGCCTGGATGTAGAGCATGTGGGATTGATACAAATTCCCCCTTCTATCTAATTTGCCAATCGGGGGGAGCGGTGGAATGTGGAAACGTTTCCTAATCAGACATTAAAAAACAACATAGATTATAAGGATATATATAATCAATCAACGAATCCAAATCGCCCAGGACACATTTTTATGATCTATATAAGAACATAAAAAGTTATGCCCCAACTGATGCAAAATCCAATGGTGATCAAAACTCAGACCTGAAAATGTCAAAGGAGAGAGAGATGAACATAACAAAATACATATGCATGCATTAGTTATAGTCTATTGATCATCGTCATCATCATCTCTCCAACCTCCAAACCTTTACACAGCCATCATCACCCGTACTTATTAGCACCTCCTCCTCCTCCCCTTCCTTTCGCCCCCGATCAGCCCGCAGCGCCCAGCAAATATGATTAACCTCGTAAAGACCGTGTGCAGCATCGATCATAGCGAGGACATGCCATTCTGTTCGCGGGTTAGTTGCGTGTTCTGGTTGTGGCTGTGCTTCTTGGCCCTTTGCCTGCGTAATATCATCATCATTCTTCTCTATATTATCTGCTGGCGACGAGGGGGTATCCATATCTGCATTCGCATCTGTGGCTGTAGATTCCCCCGCGGCCTTCTCCACATTCACAAATCGCTCCTGGTATACTACGATCCTCCCATCGGCGCCTGTCGACGCGATCAGCCCGCTCCGCTTGCTCCATGCAACGGAGTAGACTGATAGATCGTGCCGCGATGGTAACTGCGACTGCTCAAGCCACTTTTCGTCAGTATCGGCGGGGCGGATTATGCTGGGCATTGATGAGGGGCCGGTGTTTTGGCCGGTTGTAGGAGGGCGAGTTTGCTTATCCCATATGCGAATCGTGCGGTCGTCGGAGCAGGAGACTAGCCGGGGACCGGCAAGTGTACGCCGTTCAATCCATTGTTTCCGGCGCGTTTCTGTTATATCGGCGTCTTCTTCTCTTCCTCCATCTTCACTATCACCACTTGCAGAAACAGGAACAGTACACCCCGCCTCACCAGACTCCCACTCGACACACCACACCGTACCCTCATGACCCCGTAGACACGCCACCTGGCCCCAATCATCAATATCCTCCCTCCACAACCGGACCGTATCATCATAACTCGCACTCGCCAAACACTCCTCAGTCGGATGCCAGCTTACCCACTTCACATCGCCCGTATGCTCCTGCATAACCGCGACGGTCTCAAAGTTATTATCGCCATCGTCCAGATCCTCCCAGATCCAGATAGACTTGTCGCGCGAGCAGGTAGCCAGCAGGGCGCCGGCGGGGGACCAGGAGAGGGATTTCACCTCGCTGTCGTGCCCGTCTAGAAGGACGGCGAAGCGCCATTCCTCGTCGTCCTCTTCTTCGTTGTTGGAGTGGGCGTCGGCGTCGGCGTCGGCGTAGGCGTTGCTGTCATTGCTTCCGGCTCCGGCACCAGCCTCCACCACAGCCATCCGATCATCATCACCTCCACGCCCGTATCCATCCCACCGCCTCCATACGCCGACTGTCGCGTCAAAACTCCCCGTCGCCAACACGCTCTCGCCTTTTACGAGAGGTTTCCATGCACAGCTGCGCACGCTGCGCTTGTGGCCGCCAGATATCGTCGAGAGTAAGGTGAAGTTCTGCAGTGAGTAGATGCGGACGGTTTTGTCGGCACTGCAGGTTGCGACGAAAGGGAGGCGCGGGTGCGGGGCTGTGAGCCAGGTCCGTTCGAGAGAGGGCGGGGTGAGAGGGGAGAGGAGGGTTATAGCTGGAGATGGGATCGTAGGCATTTTTGAAGGGTGTCTGAGGTGGTGGTGGAGAGTGGAGGGGGAAACAGGAAGCGAGGGGGAGGGGGGGGTGGGAGAGGCAGGACGGACTGTCAGGACGGAGGTGTTGAAATCGTCCCTGTTGCGGCTGTTCCTCTGAGTTATAGAATTATATTGAGTTAGGCCATACGGCTAGCCTGTGTTTTAGAATATTAATACGTATATAAAACCACGCAGGTACATATTATCCTGACAAGAACCCTTCGCAAAATCACCTCCCCTCCCTCTCCCCCGCCTGCCCCAGTAATACCGAATTCCCAAGATAAAGAGGAGAAAGCAAAGGTAGTTCAACTCACCTGCCCGTATAAACAGAGTAATTTAATTCGAAGTCCACAATTCCCACAAACATCCGCAATTTAAAATGGAAGACAAACCAAAACTAAATTGCAAAAACAAAAAAAAAAGTGATGTTTCTTCCCGCGGGGCGGAGGTGGAAATTTCCCGATGTGGCTTGATCGAGTTTAGCTAGATCAGATAACTTAAGCGCGATGATGTCACTGCCAGCACATTATTCTAATCTTTTTAAAAAAAAACATTGATTCAAAATAAATATAACATATCTAGATAAAAATCATACACTCAATAGATTATTCAAAGATACGTATATAGGAAAAACAAAAAAAAGAATTTCACCACTCGCCAATATGTTGTTTGCAACCTGGTTATATTATCCAAAAAAAAGGGTGATCTGAATTCCTCTCAACGCTCATTACCACACGTTAAAAAGGTGACAATAGGGGGAAGAAAGAAAGATGGAAATAAAAAGCAAAGAAATATGCTAAAAGACATGCATGTCTGAATTGATGGAGAAGGGCCTGAACATGAGAAACAGTGAGAAGTAAAAAAAACCATTAAAGGTAAGAATAAAAATAACGCAACATGGGTGGTGAGAAAGACACACCAGACCCACCGTCTCTAGTAAAAAAAAAAAAAGAAAAAAAGCAAAACCGGCATTATCATATGAAAACCGACCCCGAAACCGGTGCATCTAAAAAAACACCCAGCCAAATCTACAATCCATGCGATGCCTCTATCACGCATAACACATAACCCTCATCACTACTCACTCATCGCTCATTCTCATCCTTCCCCCCCTCGCCCTCGCCTTCACCCTCGCCCCCGCCCTCCCCGTCCTCCCTCTCACTCCAAATCCCCTCATAAACCATCCCATGACACAACCAATCTACCTCCCTAACCTTCCCCAAGCTCTCCACAATCTTGCCCACCTCGCTCACAAACTCCGGCATGCCCGCGGCCGCCAGACTCTGGCTCGCCGTCGCCGTGGTCCGCACCCGCTCGCTGGCGCTCGACGCGCTGAGGCGCGCGAGGACATGTGCTCGGAGCCGGGAGAGCATGAGTTTCGTCACGGGGTCGGTGAAACAGCCTGCATTTGCGGTATTGGTGGTGGTGTTGTTATTGTATGCGTCTGAGCCTGATGATGATGAGGGGGAGAAATGAGAGGAAGGTAGTAATGCGATTGTATCTGGTGAGATTGAGGCAGCTGAGGAAGCTGAGGCGGTAGCTGTGGCCGTGGCCGTGATGGATGCTGCCGTCGCGGGGCTAAGGACACGTTTGATGGTGGAGAATAGCTGTGCCCGCGTTGATGCGGGCATGGCATGTGAGGACTCAAGGATCGACTGGACGCGTTCGGGTTTTATGTCGTTGAAATCAAGAGCCATGATCCGCTCTGCTTCGCTCTTCCACTGGGACCGGACATCGCGTTTAAGGAGGTTCTTGGCACTTAGAAGGATCGAGGCGGTGGCTGCGATTTTGAAGGCGCGTGAGCGTAGTTGGTCGAGGCGTCCGCGATCCATATCTAGGGTTTCGGGAATGAGTTCGGGACGTAGATGTCTGTTGCTTAAGACTAGGTCGACGAGGCCCTGTGCGTAGATTTTGGCTACAGGTGGCTTGTAATCCGAGTTCAGATTGTCTGGGTCACGTTTCTTCATGTCTTCGATGATGGCGTTGCGGTTCACACGCCAAAATGCCCGCGTCTTCTCGAGAGTAATAACCCCTTCTTGCAGAAGTGTTGAAAACACACGCTGTTCGTATCCGGGACCTTCCTGGATCAGCTGCGGAGCCGCAACATGGAGCAGGAAATTGGTATGATCCAAGGATAAAAGGTCAATGATACCCATCAATCTCGCGAGGCGGTCAATTGCATCGCCCGAAGTGTCAGTAGCAAAGGCCTTGACATCAGGGTCGCGGTATGGAGCACAGAGCTTTGGAAGAATATTGCTCATGAAATCGAAAAATGCATCATACGAGAATGTGCCTGCATTGCACTGGTTTTCAATATATTTCGGGTCGAGCACCTCGCTGATCAAAACATGTAGCGAATTCCCAGGCTTCAGTGAACGAAGCAACCTGTCCTGAATGACGCTGGCCATCGCGACCGTCCACGTAGTCCCCAATCCTTTAGCAACATCTTTCCTCATCATGTCGCACATAAGATTCATGATCTGGCGTCGTATATCCGTATACGGGCCTTGATCGATTTTGTACTCCCGGTTGATCAAAAGCTCATGCACAAGCGCTCTGTTATCCGGCAGGGCCGTCAAGGCCTTCGCAAAACGATCACGGGGGGTCATCTCCTGCTGATCCAATTGGGCTAAAGCGATTTGGTCTGCGGCGGAGAATGATTCACAGATAGGCGACTGGGCAGACTCTGGGAGCAGCTCCGCAGACGACGGAGGCACACTTGCGGCGCGGGGGATAGCCTGTTGCGAAGACCCGTTTTTCATCTTGTCCCGCTTAGATTTCCTCAAAGCTTGCTTCACCATCGCCATTGCCTTTTCAGGACCTGCCAGTCTCTTAAGACGTGCAAGCAACAAAATTTGATTCTGGCGGATGCCTTGCTGGTAATCATCAGCAACACCTCCCTCACGGTCATCTTTGACCGTCTGCCAGATAAGCTCCAGCTCGATGAATTGAGCTAACATAATTTCTATCAAGACTGAGGAATCGTGGGTCTTCCAGGCGTGAAATGCAGAAAAGAAAGTATTGTAGGACTCCGACAATGCCTGGAGATCGGCGGCAAGCGAGGCAGGCCACACCCCAATAGCTGATAATTGAGAAATAACCTGCTCGAAAATGACGAGCAAATCCCGACCTTTTGCGATAAGATCCTGCTCTTGCTCTCCATTGCTGCTAAGAACTTGTGCCGGATGGGCCAATATCAAATAGCTGCTAAGGAATGTACGGACAGCGCCACGTTCACCCATCGCGCCCCCTTCTGTATCCTGCAAACCGCACAGGCGCAGAACCTTGGCCGTCACAACCAAGAGTTTCTCCGCAGACAGCAAAGCCCCAACCTCATCAAAACTCAAAGCGCGGATCCGCTCCAGGGAAAGGTCAACCTCTCGAAATTCCTTGATAACAGTGCGCGCATAGTGATTGCGCCATGCCCGCTGAATAATCCGCGAAGCACTAGTCCGGCTCATCTGCTTAATGGACGCCTTGGCCAGCCTCTTCTCCTCAGCTGCGGCAAGACTCGTAGTCCGTGGCCGTCGGGTATTTTGCTGATAAAGCAGCCTTCTCTTCTCTGCCTCTGCAAATTTCTCCGCCATCTCCAATCGCTGCCTAGCATGCTCTGCCGCCTTCCGCTCCTTCATATCCTCAGCTTTCTTCTTTGCTCTTCGCACCTCCTCCTCGCATTTGGCCGTAATTTCAGCCAGCAACTTCTCACGCGCCTGCTTGGCAGCCAAAGCCCTTTCCTCCCGCAATATATGTTTGGACTCGTTCTTGGCAAGCGCCGCGCGCAGCCGGACCTTTTCCGCATGTGCTGCGCGGTCAGCAAGGCGCGCTTTACGAGATTCGATGATGGACGCACGGCGTAGGTGTTGCGCAACATGGTCACTGTGCGGGCCCCCGTGGGACGAGATATTCGAGTGCAACGAGGATATCGAGCTGCGGCGGGAGGAAGTGGCAGACGCGCGCCGACGGCCGCTTGACTTTTGATAGAAACGTGCGGCGAGCTTAGCTGGTAAGGCGAGGGATGTGTTCGCGTCGCCTGACGACATGTCTACGTCGCCTTCATTGGTAGTGGCGGTTGACGAGGTCGCTTGGGCTGTATCGGGCAGATGCATTTCCAGGTCGGAATTCCGCCGGACAATCATAGGTAACGGTAATGCGAGTGGGGAAGGGTAATTCCAAAATGGTAAAGCCTTGGTTGAATAATGATATTTTCAAGTAAGAGGAAAATAAAACAAGCAAGCAACAAAATAAAAATCGGGTAGGCGGTTTTGCTTTCCCAAGGCTTCCAACAAGGTCAGAGTTGACAAACTGTGGCCGTTGCGTTCCAGGTGCTTGGATAAAAGAATCAACAAACAGCAATAGCCTCGCAAGCGCAAGGGGCGACGATTTAGAATTCGACGGAACAAGCTGACGAATGGAGGTCCTAGGTAATAATAGATGGCACAGGCGTCCGTAAGCGGTTTCAGAGCCGCTGGGATCGAGCGGAATGGTGAAACGAGAAGACGTCGATGGGCGGAAAACAAGGACTGGCAGTGGAACGGCGGATCTAATAAGAGGCACGAAAAGAAAGAATAAAAGTAGTCGACAGCCGGCAGAGGTAATGGGGTTGCTTGTCGAATACACCGTAAGTAAGCAACGATGTTAAGGAGAGGACAAAGAAGAAGAGGAAGAAGAGGAAGAAGTTGTAACTAGCTGCAACGAAGGAGGAAGAGGAAAGAAAGAAAGTTGGATGAAGTCAGGTCACATGCTGGGAGGCCAATGGGGAAGTTAGTTACTTGATTGGTACTTACACTGCCCATATATTCCAGAGCAAAGATACAGGTAGCTACCAGGTACTCCTCATTTCTTTTGGCGGGGATCTGAAACAATCCTGGACCAAGATTAGTTTGCTCTAAAATATCCTTGGAAAATGGATGACGACTGGGCTTCTTACCTCAGGCGGGAATACGGGTGCTGGTTGGTTGTTGTGCGGCGGCGAGTTTAACTACGCTGTTAACTAATCTATCGCGCGGGCTAAGAATAGGCTGACGCTAGAAATGTAGATATGATCGATGTTGCATAGCTCTAGACACTATCCAAGTCTATTTCCGTTTTATTGGTGGAATTACAATGTATTCAAATTGTAGATAATATAACTACTCTCTATGGCCGGGGGCGGGGGCGAATTTTATATGCCTCTCAACCATATCTACAAAGCCGCGAAAATATCCAAAACCACCGACATCCATCTAAAAAAACCAAAACCTATAACTACATACCAATATTTTTTTTAAAAAAAGGAGATCAGATCACAATCTCGCGCCCTCCAAAATACCCACAGGAACCTCCACAACTTTATCACGCACATAATCCGCAAACCCCTTCCCCAAACAATCCAGCTTCGTCGAACTACTCACCCCACGGCCCAAAATCCCATAAATCACAAAATGCACCGCCCACAACCGCGGGAACTCAACCCGCTCGATGAAATACCCATCATCATCCTCACCCAGCAACTCCCGCATCTTCTCCCGGCTCATGAAGCTCCGGAACCAGTCCCACTGGCCCGCTGACCGCACGAAGATGCCAAAGTTGATATTGGCTCCCTTATCTCCCGATCGTGCGAGGGCGATGTCGCCTAGGCGCATGCGGGTCGTGGGGCCGAGGGTGCTTATGGCTATTGGGGAGACGGTGTTGTAGTTCTTCCGTGCCTCGAGGGCTTCGAAGGCGGGAGGGTGGCCAGCGGCGATTGATGAGGTGGTAGTTGCGGTTTCTTGGCTGCTCCCCCCGCCACCACCACCACCACTACTACTACGGCTTGGGGTGAGAATATTTACGGTTTCTTTGAGGGAATGCTGGCGGTACAGAGCTGGGTAAAAGGCGAGGTAAGGGCGTGGCAGGGCAGTTCGTTGGTCGAGGGAGAGATGGAAGCCTTAACCCAGGGTCAGCGTTAACTCACTGATTAGGTTATCTTGAAGCAATCTTGTTCCGTAGTTACCTGAAAAGTGCTGCATGGCAAATTCGCCCATGACCATCGGCACCGCCATGACGGTGTCTGCATCCTCGGCCTGCGTAAATACACGACAGTAGGTCGTGCTCTTAAACTGGCTGGAAGGATTCGCAGCCGGGGTCCCAAGCCTGCACTCCCAGTTTCGTCAGACAAGATCTCAAAGACATATATATATAATACGGTCTAAATTAGATAGGAAGAACTGACACTTGAAATTCCAAAAAATGGAATTTATCTGCAGTAAGACCCCTCTTTGCCAGTCCAAATCGCATCTGTTTCTCGAAAAGCTCCCATTTCTTATCGGTGCCATAGCCTGTCGCGTTTATGAGAAGCTGAGATTCGAACCCCCCTCGGTAGAATATTGCTAGTTTTGTCGTGGGAGGTGGCGGGCCACCGGTTACACCAGAAACTCGTACCCTGTTGGTTTTATATGAGTCATGAAGCTGTATCCTTAATAATGGCGGGGAGGTGATGGAATGTTAATAATGTATCTACTTACCGATCTTTTCCTACGGCCTCAATTGAGATGTTCTGTGTATATGCCTTGACGTCACCTAAACGCCATTGTCGTTGTTAATTTCCCCGAAAATCCCGAAAATAGAAAAGAAAAAAAAAGGGGGAGGGGGGGTTAGTTGAGAGCAGGGGAGGAAAAAAGCTTACTATTAAGATAAACATCTCCCTGCAGCTCATACAAAAACTGACACTTAACCACATCCACATTCACAAGCCCCTTCGTCCCTTCATGCTTTGTAACCACACAACTCCCCCCAGCATCCACCTCCACAATCCCAAACGGCAAATCCACAAATCTATCGAGATCATACTCCGAGAAGCCCGAGAAATTCGACCCGGTCACGTACGCCGAGCATTCAATGAGGTGGCCCGCAATCAATGCCCCGGCTAGCGCGTCATAGTACGTCTCCTTCCATCCGTGCCAATACCATGCGGCGCCGATTACGGGGGAGGCATCTGCGACACGTCCACAAATTATGATATCGGCGCCTGCTTCCAGGCCCTTGACGATTGCGCGGGCGCCGAGGTATGTGTTTGCGGAAACGACTGGTTTACCCTGGGTGTCCAGGAGATCGTTGGTGTGCGCCTGCGTCTGGATTTCCGGGTTGTTGGAGTCGAGATGGGCGGGCAGTGTGCCTGTCTTTGCGAGGCTGTCCCGTACCTCGTCGAGGAGGTTGTCGCCGGCGACGTAGGCGACTTTTAGGTCATAGCCTCGGCTGCTTACCTAGCCATAACCTCAGTATTTCGGGGGTTCTTGTCTCAAATAAAAAGGGGGTTGGGGGCGGGGGGGAAAGCAACCGCTTACCAGCTTCTGGGTTTGAACAGCCAAACCACGAGGGTTCAAAGCGCCCCCGTTGATAACTATTTTGATCCGCTTAGCCGCGATAGCGTCCATCGATTGCTGGATCCCATCCCATGCATACGGATCATATCCAGGATGCTGTCCGGCCGCCATCGCCTCCGCATGTTCGGCCAGGTTCATTTCTAAATCATCACATAAGTATTTAAGTAGATGATTCTCTCCCTCTTCCGAACAAACAGAAACGGGAAAAGGCCTTTTTTAATTTTAATCCTTCAACTACACACCTGCAAGATAATCTCCCGTAATGAAATCCACATCCCCAAGCGTTGCCTGCCGCAGCATTTGATATCCGGGATCGCCTGTGCACGTGGTATATTTATTAGCCTAAATTGTTTTTTGAAATAGACGATATATAAGGTATAAACAGTAGAGAGAGAAAGATAGAAAAAAAGAAGACCAACCTCGAGCTCCCGAGCAATTCGCAATGCGAACGGGCCGCTGCCCCTTCGTTGCCCATCTCGAGGAAGCTGCATTGTTCCGCATCTTTATCTGTCCTCTCCTCAATATTCAATGTTTTTATATATATTTCCCCTTTCCAATTTCCCAAGGGAACAAAAATGAGCGGTACCGTACCAGCAGAGAACAGAATCGAGGGAGCAACTCAGTAGCGTATACGGATGAAAAGCCCGCCATTATGAAATCAATCATATCGGGCGAAACTTTTCATTTTATCTCTATTCATTTTCATTTTTTCCCCCTCCATTATTCTCGGATCATATCCGGGGGAAATCTTAGCCTCCCCCCCCCCCCCCCGGGACCCCAGGCCCCTCTCCTGGTGGGTTGTGCAGCTTGTAGCCAAACACTGGGAACCTCGGCCTCAATATATAGCTTGCTCTTTGGCAGCCAGCCAACCAGCCCCTTTGAATAATAGTAATAATGAACACGGCGTTTGCGGGCAGCTTTTTTTCCTCAACGCCTCCCAGCCGACCCGACCTGACCGCCTCGGCTATGATTGGCAACTTTAACTTTGAAGTGGGGAGGGGAGAATGAACAATGCGGAGGCGGAGAGAGAAGCAGGAAGCAATAAAATAGTTCGGGGCTCCGCCGCTCCGCCGGCTTCCCCTTTGGAAGTGTGGGAGATAATGTACATGTACATGTACCTAGGTAGTTTCATTATCTGCTAGGGCTGGGGATGTTGAGCATGGATGTGGTCGGTACACTTCTCAAGTATGGCAGGGCTTTTTTGCCCCTCCTCAATCATTTTGGCGCAGAGCTTTGCGAATTGAATGTATGGTGGGGCATCTGTGTCGTTTGGAAACGACAACAGTTTCCAGCTAGATTGTGAATCTTGGTAGTTGTGAGGTTGTCGATGAGTCGTCCTTTATCAGAGATCTTCCCATGAGGACGGTCATGGTCATGGTTTGGCAGGGAATGTTTGGCAGGGAGTGCAAGGGCCGAGGGGGTCTTGGTGGCACACTAAAAATAAGAACAAATAATAAAAAATACAAATAATCAAGAAATACATGCACTAGCTGTGACCCAGCTTGTAGAATTGCTTTATTATGAAAAATATCTCAAAGCAACATTTTCTCACTTTTATCAGAAAGTAATCAAACCTTCTTTGCATTCGGTGATTGCACAAATTTAAGAGACATTATTGATAAGTGTATGATCTCTAATTTACTTTATCTACTCTGTACTGTCTATCTTAACACTCAATCATGTACTTACCTCTGTCTGATACAGTTAAATTCAGATACATAGCTAGCAGTGATGCAGACAAGTGACTTTGTATGGGTAATTCACAGTTCTGAGTGGGATCTGAGAGACAATCTCATGAATACAACAGATGATTAATAGAAAGGTCCAAGAGGTTGCACATATGCTATGTTCATATACATATAGAACCACTGGTGAGAGACGGAGAGTGGGAGTACGGTACTGACATTCATAAAGATCCTATTTCTACTACCTCTGAGAGCCGCGAAAAAGGTCATAAATCCCACACTCCTCATGGTTAACACAGATACTTCCAAATATTTTGCCTCCTAAAGCCAATGAAAACCTGGTATCAAGGGGGGAAACTTTAGTAGTAGCAACTTTCTTCGGCTTGCCGCTTGCGAGCTTTTCATGAGGTTGGCAAAGATCAGCCAAAGCGCCTGTCGGTCCCGTGTTCATATCGCCACTTCTCACGCATCTAGCGCATCCATTTCCGCGCGACTTCCATAGCGATTATAGGACTCACCTCAAACCACTCGCGGTGTGCTTCTCCACAGTCCGCGCAATTCCCTTCCCGTTTCCGCTGCTCCTTCAATTCCGCATGCACAAGGCCTTCGACGCGGAAGATGTGTTTTGACGGGTAGTAAGTTCTGCTTCCTCTGTTCATCTGCTGCATCTTGTTTGGGAAATAGACCTCTAGTTTGGTACCACATTGCTTTTCCCATCGCTGGAGCCGTTTGCTTATGTCTTTTGTCATGCCGATCTTCAGGTGCTCTAAGTTTCTGGGTTGCTAGTAAATCTATATGAAATCCTCTCTATTATTATCTTTATTGTTCTTAAACGGGCTCATAATTTTCTTTTCTAGGCATTGACTCGAGGATATACCTTCTTGGCATTTCGGTCGGTACGGCGTGAAGTTTTGTAACTGGGGAATTGGTCGGCTTATGGCTGTCGGGGGTCCGGTCATGGCCTTCGGTTTGCGTGTTCCTGAGACGGAGCCCGTGTTTACAGCAGAGCTACTGGCCACTAGCTAATCTCCCGGTTTCGTGCTCTGAGCGTGCCGTGATTTTCCAAACTTTTCGTTCAACTCCTTTATAGCCATTTTCTTATGCGTTGTGCGAAGTGACGAGCCAATCAATGTTTCTATCCATTGGAGAATATCACACGATGGAACAGTCTTCAGGGGTTCCAGGCGGGCATCCCCTTCTTGGATATTTCCTTTTTGGCGCTTGAGGGAGCGCCTATTTCCCCCCTTATAGCTGGTGCGACGCAGCGCCCACTGCCCACTGTCAATCTTTGATCAATGTCGGAGGGAATAATTTTGGCAAGTACCTCACTGGTTGCTTTCACATTGGACAGAGTTTTTGGCACCGGCACTGGCATAGCTAATGGTGAACCTGCTGAGGAATTGGTTTTACTGGAACTAGAAGATTGACTCTTGAAATCCCAGCCCTTTTTTCTGAAATTGGTATCAATGCAGTCACTCTCCAGAATTGGAGAATCCCGCTTTATTAATTCCTGGCTTTCAGGTGTTGAAAACTCTTGTTCACTCAGTCGAGTTCGCTTTAAATTCCGAGCTCTCTCGTTTATGCGGCTCTCCCTCAACTGCAGGAAATTTTCTACCAACAGAAGCTCCTGTTCACTGACTGTAGCATGAACCCTAAATTTTCGCTTTAAGGTCCATTTTCGAGTCTCAGACAGCTTGCGCTTTTGACTTTCCTGAGCATCACGCCCTTTGGGCGACGGTTATCTGACTCCTCAAGTTTCGGAACGGTGTCTTGTAGCGATGAATTTATACTTCGAGGAGAGAATCGTCCACCCTGTGCTTCGAAAGCTGAAGATCAGATTTTCAGTTGCGGGTGGAGAATACTGGTACATTTTGTCCTCCTGGGCATCAAGCCTGGTGGGCGTCCATGCCCAGTCGTCAGCAGCTCTTGTGTTGGTCTCATGAATTCCTTCTCCTGTTACCAAGCAGCGTACTTGGTGTTGGACAGGAAAGAAGGTCACATCGACGAGTGGACAACCGTTCAGGGGTTGGGCTGTCCCAACCATATTCAGTAGCATCGGTGCTTACAGAATTTTGCTGGCTGAATATGTTCGCTTCCCTTCCTTCTGGTGTTCTCGGCGGAGTGCTTTCCAGAGAAGAAAAGGTCTCCTCTGTATCCGGCTCATCTCCATTAAGAACAGGGGAGAAGTTAGCTTTTGTAGGTGTCTGAGGTTCAGCCAGGTGATGATATGTTCGATTGCCATATTTCGTATTCGAATGGGTTAAAGTATGTACTGCACATACAACATTTGGTTTTCAGTGTGAAAAAAAGGGGGACTGGAAACTTGAACCCCGAGCTGGGGAAGGCGCCAGCAATATGAGCATTGCCCCTCCATGCCGCGACAGGACCAACTAGATCATAGCGCGCAGGAATAACAAGACAAGGAATACGCGCCGCTAACGCGGAACCTAAAAATGTGGTTCATCAAAAGAGCCATTAGGGAATGTACTACTAGCCTCGCTAGGACATCACTGATAGCCCTAGATAGATTTTGAAGGCAATTCGTCCCTGTTTCTTGACTGCAAAGCGTGCAATGAAACTTGCCCTCTCCTCCTGTGTTTTGAAATCACAGAGTTTGAAATGTTAGTTACTATTTCTGCCTCAGGAGAAACAATCATCAGCCACTCTGCATGAAATCTCTGCATTGCCTTGATGGTGGGCACGAGGCTATCCCCGCATATCAATCCATGTCAATGCTGCGCCGCAGGAACGCTCGTAGGCGCCACACAACTTCATGGGGAAAGAAAAAAGAAAAGAAAGCATAGAGAAATAGTTCTTCAACTTCATAAAGGATGCTGTGCCTCTGAAGTAGCTTGTGATCTGGACTCCTAACTTCTTGTGATGAGAGGAGAGAAGAAAGGAGGGCCTGATGAGATTATGAATACTTGAGTATGTTTAGCTCTGGCACAATCGGGGTTCCTTTGATACTTATCATCCATCCTATGATAAATATCATCTGGGTCAACTCTGCTCGAGTGTTCCAAGTGGAGTTGCCGCGGGCCGTCTTAGTCACCATTAGCATTATAAGTCATCGGGTCCGTGCACGCTGCTACAACCCCTGCCATTAGCCGCGCAGTCTCAAGGCTGAAGCATTTTGCCTGCGCTTGCTCATTGCAAAGTCATTGGAGGACAACTCTTTCTTTTCACATGAGTGGCTGGTGAGCAGTGATAACTGAAACCCTGTGCATTTGAAGAGTGATTGCTACTGACAGTTTTGCAGACACTGTTTCAAAAAAAAAAAAAAAAAAAAAAAAAAAAAAAAAAAAAAAAAAAAAAAAAAAAAAAAGCACTTTCATGCAATTATATGCGCAGCCAACATATATATGTACAGAGTAGTTATGGAGTTATGGAGAGTGCAGGTGGGACACAGCTGGAGCTGAACTCAATCAATCATATCTCCCAGGCTGACATAACAAGTTTGTTCTACTCATCATCACAGTATGGCATCTGTTTACTCTCCAAGATCTTCTCAGCACAGACAACTCTCCCTTCTCAATCATTGTATTGTATCCAACTTACCACCACCACCACCACAGCGTCTCAGCCCGAATCGTGCACATTCTTATCCCCCTTCACTTTCACACTGCCTCCTGTCACATCCTCCTCCTCCTCCTTCTCCTCCTTCCTCTCTCCCTTCCCCTCTGCACTCAATCCCTTCACATTCTCCCCTCCGCACCCAGCACAAAGAATTACGTATATACTGAGAGATTGTGGGGTGAAGCTCATAGCTTAAAGCCAAGACTGACTAAACCATATATAATAATATACTAACTACATTAGGACTAGTGAAATTGGTGCGTGATTATAAAATCAGTATTATGTGGAATTAGGCCTTTACACTGAAAAAACAATAAAAGCCATTTGACAAGTCACTATAGACTGCCGTATGTCCGCGTTCTTGGCGCCCAGGAAATCCCGATGCTCATGTTTATTTTCTGATCACCGGCAATCACAGTGCTTTTTTGTACTGGGTGGACTGGTCTCGACAGCATTTTTCCCATGGGCTACCTTGATTGTCACCTGCAATCGTTAAATTTTCAGAGCCCATGGTCATACGCGTACTAAGCAGATAGAATGATCCGGTATGCACGTCGAGTGGTGATCTACTCCGTACATAGGAAATAATTGCATAATTCGTCACATTCGCCTACTAAAAATAACTTGTAGAAATTAGAGATCTATACACTACCTAGCATATCTAAGTATATATCCCATTGCTCTATTATCTAGGCTACAAGTTTAAACAACTATGTATAGATCTTTGGACCAAACCACGCATCTCTTCAGGAAAGTGTTCATAAAAGTTTAGCAAACGAAGCTGTTATATAAAATATAGATTCAACAAGGCAAAGTGGCCTGGAGAGATGATGGGCGTAAAGTGAATATATCAAGCGGAAAAAGCTAGTTTGAATGGCCCAGAATATTGAACCTTTGCATAGTGCAGACGTGAGCACCCGGGAGGAAAAGCGCCTCCAGGCAAAACCATGGGGCTGCTCGGAAAAAGGCAGAAAACACTCCTCCAAAGCGTTCTGCCACTGCATTCAGCGGCCTTTTAAATGGGTGGGTGCACATAGCCATAAGTGCTCAGAAATTAGTACTCGAGAGTCTTCTTAATCGCATCGAAGATCCCTATTAGGCGCGCCATGTTAGTAAACCAACCGAGATAATACCACATCTTTGCGGAAATGAATGTTCACTTACTTGCAACGTCAGGCATATTAAACCTCTCGTAGATCAAGCCTGGATGAATATCCCATCCAGTAACACGGCTGACAGGGGCCTCTAGGCTCAAGAATGCGCCTTCTTGGATGGTGGCGGCCACTTCTGCTCCAATACCGGCGTTCAGCATACTTTCATGCACAACAATTGCCCGTCCAGTTTTCCGGACACTCTCTAGGATTGTGGGCCGGTCCCAAGGATAAAGGGTGCGAAGGTCTATAAGTTCAATGTTGACACCCTTGAAAGCTTTCTCAGCTGCTTCAATTGCCGCGGAACAGAGGTAAAGAGGTTGTCCATATGATATTATTGTTAGATCTTTCCCTGGTTTGATTACGTCGGCCTTGTCAAGTGGGAGGGTATATGCTTCGGTAGGGACATGTTCCACTGCTGCTCGGTATAAGATCTTGGGTTCCATGAACACTACAGGGTCATTGCATTCGAGAATGGAAGATAACAAAAGTCCCTTCGCTTGAGTGGGTGATCGTGGCATGACAACTCGTAGACCTGGGATGTGAGTAAAAAGAGATTCCGGAGACTGAGAATGGTACCTTCAATTGTCGAGCTATGTTAGCTAGTTGATACCAATTTACTGGCGAGGGCAGAGAATTGAGAATTTCATACAAAGCACCATGCCCTACACCTCCGCAAGGCATTCGCACCACGAGTCCGCCAACATGGCTCCCCGTTGCTCCCTCCCTATATCGGAATTTGGCAGCTTCGTTGACGAGCTGGTCAAAGGCAGGGTACACATAGTCCGCAAACTGGATTTCCGCCACAGGTTTCATCCCTTCGGCAGCAGCACCAATTGCAAATCCAACAATTCCCTGCTCTGTCAGGGGGGTGTTGAATACTCTCTCAGCCCCAAACTCGGTTTGTAAATCCACAGAGCAGCGGAATACTCCTCCAAAGGCAACATCTTCCCCAAACAATAGGACCTGGTCTGAAGCTGACAGGGCAGTCCGGAGGGCTGAATTAATAGACTGGTAAAGGTTTATTCGTTTCGTAGCTCCACTTTTTGGTAATTCTGTAGAGGAGGGTAATGTGGACGGGGAGTGATGTAGGAGCGAAGTTGTGCCATAGTTGATCGGCAAATTAAGATGTGCTGAAGGGGAGGGAGCGTGTGTTGAGTACAGGCGTTGACGGCACAATGGGCTTAGCAGCCTTCGTGCAGCGTTATGGGAAAATGCTACCATTTTCTAACAATATGAGGAATTAAAGAGTGAAGAAAGAAGACGGTCGGTCATCTTGTCTGGGGGGCTGCGGATGTTTCTGTCCTGGTGGTTATAAACAGCCAACGGCTCCCAGCTGTTTGCCGAGCGGGTATCCCGTGACCTCCGCCGAAGATAGCCGTGTGTACGGAGTACTTTTCAACGCCAAGCCCGGCTGTCCATTTTTGTTTCGGCATTCCAACGGATAATCATATAATCCGTAACTAGCGAAGTTGAGAGATAAAGTCACATGGCTTCGCGCCTTTTCTGCTGGTGGCGCAGGCGACAGTGACTCGGCGCGCCCCAACCTGCAAAAGCTCTCCAAAAAATGGCCGCACTTACCATGGCGTCATAGCAAACTGCTGAAATGCGTAACTACCTGTGTGGCCCCGAACTGATGCAAAGTCCGCGGTCCATTCATCATGGGTGTTACCGGCCTCTGGACAGTGGTCAAACCATGCGCTAGGCCTATCAAGATAGAAACGTTGAACCGAAAGCGGCTTGCGGTTGATGCATCGATATGGATATACCAGTTTCTAAAGGCAGTGCGCGATCGGGAAGGAAACGCGCTTCGGAACGCTCATATCGTCGGCTTCTTCCAGCGAATATGCAAGTTACTCTACTTCGGTATCAAACCTGTTTTCGTCTTCGATGGGGGTGCGCCAGCCCTGAAGCGACAGACAATTGTGTCCAGGAAGCAAAGAAGAGAAGGAAGAAGAGAAGATGCAGCTAGAACTGCTGGAAAGCTTTTGGCTGTTCAAATCCAGAGAAAAGCCGAGGAAGCAGAGTTGCAGAGGCGCACGAGGGTTGACAACAATGAAGCTGAGGAGCCCCTCCCGGAGAATTTGGTGTATGTGGATGAACTAAATATGACGCCTAAAGAAAGACAAAAGAACCGGCATTTCCGCAAACAGGATGCTTATCATCTTCCTGACCTGGATGTTTCTCTTGCTGAGATGGGTGCCCCGAACGATCCTCGGATCATGTCCCAGGAAGAACTCGAGGAATATGCACGTCAGTTCCACTCGGGGGAAGATATTAGCCTGTATGACTTTTCGAAGATCGACTTTAATAGTCCGTTTTTCCTCAGCTTGCCTCCCAGTGATCGCTATAATATTCTGAATGCAGCAAGGTTAAGGAGTAGGCTTCGGATGGGCTACTCGAAAGAGCAACTGGATACTATGTTTCCGGACAGAATGGCTTTCTCGAGATTCCAAATTGAACGAGTGAAAGAGCGGAATGACCTAACGCAGAGATTGATGCATCTTAGCGGTATGACCGAGGATGACTCTTTATACGGGATAGGCAGTAGCGCTAGAATCGCTGGCGAGAGAGGCAAGGAGTATGTACTGGTTAAAAATAACGGAGTGGAGGGAGGTTGGGCTTTAGGGGTGTTGGGAAACAGGGACGAGGGTCAGCGTAACAAACCCATTGATGTTGAAGAGTACGGGGAGCAATTATTGTCTGATGAGAATAATGTCCTAGAAGATGACGATGAGGAATTTGAGGATGTTCCTATTGAGGGACTCAACAGGTTGCCCAAGCTACCTGTATTTGACAAAGGTGCCTTCGATAAGGCTCTTAACGAGCACGCTAGGGAAATTGCAGACCGCGCAACGGATCAGATATACGATGTATCCTTCGACCAGACTAACGCAAAACATGACCCTCTCTTTGTTCCAGAAATATCTCAAAGCACGAAGGATCAGGATACACTTTTTGAAGACTCGGAATGTCAAGATTATTCTGACAACGACGATATCCGACTGGCAATCCAAATGTCTTTGGAATCGCCCAACGACGAAAACATTCTTAACTTAAATGGGCCATCGGGGCCTAGCAGCAACGAGGAACCTACTAAGAAGGCAATTGATCATGACGACCCCGAGGATATTACCGATGACGAGGATATGAATTTTTTTGCCGCATTGTCCAAGTCTAAAGCGATGAATATGGGATCCTCTACCCCAATTCCCAATCCCTTCGACGGACCACTACCCTTTGAATCTTTGAAAATTAGCAAGCCAACTACTTCACGCACCGTCCCCAAAGCGGATGGCGAGGCTGGTGGTTTTGAGAAAACCACGCCGAAAGCCCAGAAGACAGCCCAGCCCCTACCACCATGGTTCGGCGCCATACTTGCAGAGAAACCCTTTATTGATCAAGAAATCGATGACCAATTCGGTGGTGTTGATTCTAACAATCGTGTAAGACAACGCGATAATATTCTTGGAAAAGCCAAAGAGGTGGAAGTTATCAATGTTGATGAGGATGTTTCTCAGGGGAATAAGACAATCGATGTTGAGACCCTAGGTGGAGATACCCAGGGGCATAGCGCTCCTGCTCCCGTCAAGGACTCTAATTCCAGAACCTCACCATCAACGGTCTCTAGTCGCGAAGCCACTCCGAACACTCCGTCTAAACCTGCCCACGAGCACATGGAAAAAGAGGATACAGCTGAGCCAAAGGCTGATAAATTTAACTCCGTCAAGCATGATAATGAACAATCTTACGAGTCGGAACCTACAGATGACGAGACCAATTCCAAAAATATTGTACAGAACGAGAAATCCCACCCCGAAATGAAAGTGCAGCGGGCGGTTTTATCTCCAAGCCCAGAATTCGAGGATGTAGAAATTGCCCACCCTCCCGAGGCGGCGCAGACAACAACAGACGTTTATGATGCCTCGAATTATACAGCGCAACACCACGATTCTACACGTTATTATGATGATGGTGACGATTTTTCAGACCCCGAGGACGATGAATTAATGCACCAGCTGCAAAAGGAAGCCGAAGAACATGCTCGATTTGCATCTACTCTTAATTCTAAAAGCCAGGCAGAAAATGCATTCAATTATGAGCAGGAATTGAGACAGCTACGTTCGCAGCAAAAGAAAGACCGACGGGACGCTGATGAAGTCTCGCACATTATGGTTTCAGAGTGTCAAGAATTGCTTAGACTTTTCGGGCTTCCCTACATCACTGCTCCTATGGAAGCAGAAGCTCAATGTGCGGAGCTGTTGTCATTGGGCTTGGTGGACGGCGTTGTGACTGACGATAGCGATATTTTCCTGTTCGGCGGTACTCGTGTTTACAAGAACATGTTCAACACCGTCAAGTTTGTGGAATGCTATCTTAGCAACGACCTCGAAAAGGAATATAATCTGGATCGCAGCAAGCTGATTCAGTTTGCTCACTTGCTGGGGAGTGACTATACTGAAGGAATACCTGGCGTAGGCCCCGTTACTGCTCTTGAAATCCTCACGGAATTTCCGACTTTGGAAGACTTTAGGGATTGGTGGTCTCAAGTGCAAATGGGTGCTAAACTCCCAGAGGACAGCCACTCTGCTTTTCGCAAAAAGTTCAAGAAAAATGTTACGAAGCTATTCCTCCCTCCAGGGTTTCCTGACAAACGTATCGATTCCGCATATCTTGAACCTGAGGTAGATTCTGATCCCTCAGCATTCCAATGGGGCGTGCCTGACCTTAATGCTCTACGCCAGTTTTTAATGTCTACTATCGGATGGAGTCAAGAGAGGACGGATGAGGTGCTTGTTCCAGTGATTCGTGATATGAATCGTAGAGAACAGGAGGGCACTCAATCGAATATCACCAACTTCTTCCAGGGGCCTTTAGGGGCGGGCGCGTTTGCTCCACATCGACGACCGGATGGGAGAAGCAGGATGGAGAGGGCGTTCAACAGATTAAAACACCAAGCTCAAACAAAGCAGCAGGGCATTGGGCCGCGTTCGGATGATGGGGATCCCTCTGGTTCCAACCCTTCAGTAAATCGGGGGCCTGGCAAAAGATCTCCAGATGATGGTCTCGATGCTTCTAATGAGCGTGAATCTCCCGGTGATAATGAGAGTGAGAAGACAACTCGCAAGACATCAAAGAAGCGTAAAACGACGAAAGCATGACATTACTATGAGATATGACTTGAATGATTTTGAATGATAAATTTATGCAAGTATACCAGCATATTTTTGCTGAGCTTAAGTTACCGAGCGTGTACAGAATGACTCGGATCTTGTATATATACAGAAAGATAGATCTAGCAAGAAATGTAAGAAAATGGACATACAGTCTGAGCGCGGCTCGGGCGAAACCGACAATGCGTCCGGTATCCTACTAGAGGAACCTTTTGCGTGGTTCCAAACCTGACTCCGCGATCACACACCGTCAAAACAGCATAGATTAGCCAATCCAATGCACTGCACTAGCATCCAAAATCGATTCGATCACTCTTGAAAAGCTGCCAGTTCCGGACAGTTCCAGCTAATTCAGTGTTAGCACGTTCAGTACTTCCCTGGTATATAGGTGAAGCTACACTTACGTGAGGAACTTTCCGCTCAACCCTCCCGGAGCATCAAGCGCAAGCCTCGCAATAACATGTCCCGGTTGCTCCGGTTTGAGCAACTTGCCTTCCTTGTGAGCATCAACGAACCTCCGCCCTTGTACGGGCCCTAGGACGTCTATGTGTTTCTCTCGAAGCTCCTCTTGCATCTGCGTATCGACCATCCCTGGTCGGATGGAGATGGATGTGATGTCGGGCTCTTCCAGCGCGAGGGTCATGTTGAGATGATTCAGAGCTGCCTTGGTGGAGCCGTATAATCCCCAGCCCGTCGTTGCCGATGTCGCCGCACCGGATGAGGTGAAGATTACTTTACCATGAGTTTTGCGCAAGTGTGGGATTGCGGCTTTTAGCTGTATATCGGTAGAGTTAGAACGTAAGGTATTTGTAAATTCATTTCAAACCAGACCTTCCCTTCCTTTTTTTTTTTTTTTTCATTTGTAAAATATCCCCCAGTTGTAAGACCACAGCCCGCACCACCCGCAAACTCGAATCGCAGACAAAACCATCACCCCCAAAATAAAAATAAAAAAAATAAAAAAAATAAAATTCAAAAGACACTCACAAACCCAAGTACACTAATAAAATTAACTTCAACCCCCTCCCTCCATTCCTTCAACTCACAATCCACCAGCCGCGTCACAGGCCCCAACGTTCCGTGATTAAGCACCAGCCCGTCCAGTCTTCCAAATGTCTTTATGGCCACCTCAACCGCCCGCTCAGGTAGCGACGGAGATGGCGGGGAGGATGAATGTGGCCCGGCGACATCGCCCGTGAGGATCACCACGCGGTTAGCACCGTATTGCTCCTGTAGTTGCTGGAGGGGTTGCTGTGAGCGGGCGAGGAGGATTAAATTGTGGGAGGCCGGGAGACGAAGTAGGTAGTGGGCCACTGCGAGGCCGATGCCGCGTGAGCCGCCAGTGACGATTATGGTTTTTGACGACATCTGTTATGTTATATTATATGTTGAAGTGGTCTTTTATCCTTTATTGGCGAAGGAGGGGCTCTTCTTTTGTGCTCGGTTCATCCGATTTGTCCGCGAACACTTTGAGGCTCCAGATAAGATAAGATAAGATAAGATAAGATAAGATAATCCGCTATGTGTAATGTACTTAACAGTAGTAGTACAGTAACTACAGCGTATGGCAGGACAATTTTACTTGAACCACAGTACATTGCTTTTTGTGATATTAGCCTGACTTACTTGCTATATTCACTCACACGAACGAGTGCTGCCCTTGCTCACAGCAGGCTGTTCCGTTATCATTATCATTAGTTTGTGCCTTGCTGAGCCCGGCAGGATATATTATATATTCGTATACTCCTCCATACCGGATTGAACTCTTAAGAGATTCCCTCAAGGGATGAAATATACAAAACTCTTAGGTGACCGGAGGGAGGTGGTGAATTCATTATTATCGGAATAATCTCCCCCTGCTGGCAAAGTATGATAATTCTTGCACTGTTTCCTGCGCGGGGGGGGGGGAGGGGGGAGAACTTACAGTTTGAAGCCCTCCCGAGGTTCGAAGTCACTTATGTATCTGTTTGGTTAACATATGCAAAATTATGGACATTTTTACATATCATTATTACATCGATTTCTATATGCAGGTGGTACCGATGCCAATCATATTCTTATCTGCTTGTATCTGCATTGAAAGTGAAGCCTAACAGATTACTTTGATTTAGACTGTGAGCTCTATGGATAGCTTTCTCTCTCCTTTGACCAGGTGCTAATTTAATTGAAAACGCGTCTAACAGAGCTACTCTTGAAATGCCACAATCTTTCTCTGTCCGAGTTGAACTATCCAGCCAGCTTAATTCTAAAATCCCAGTGAAGGAGGAGATAACGAACTTCGAATGGCAACATTGAATATATGAGCCAATCAATCCTTGAGACTCCAAAGTCCCCTGAACTCTAGACGATATGTAGCAGAGATAGCTGCATCCATGTCTGAGAGCAAAGCATATTTTTGTTGTGCTTCTTGCTATTTTATCTCCAAAGTCTGCTCATCGGTTAAATAATGCAATCACGAACCACAGAGCCGTGCAGGTGGTAGTGGTGCTGAATCCCTGGCTTAAGAAAGTAATGCCAGACCATTCAACGGAAATGGGTAAAGACTCAGAAAATATCGGCCGCGTGGCAGGAAATAATTATTATACAGTAAGCCGTGATCTCTTCATTGACAAACACCAATAATAGCCTGGAGGTACTGTACGGAGTACATACATGTAGTTAAGGATATCTGAACCGCGTGAGATTTTGGCTGATTCCTCCTGCAGTTAGCAAAGGAGTCGTGGAAACACTCACAACTCCTGACTGAAGATTACGAACTTCTTAAGAAACATGGCCCATGTCAAGTTGCATGCAAAAGTTGCAGTTGTCCATGTACTCCTTACGCTGGCCACAGTCTTCTTGTTGTTCTCAGTCGCTGATTATGAGCCACATGCTGAATTCCTCCGACACCACTGAATTTCTTTCGTTTCTTGCATTCTCAGGGGATATGCTCCTCGTCTATATCCTATGCTCTTGATTTTGTTTGTATCGTACTTCTATAGAGGGTACATGGAGCAATCATATCTTGTCACTAAGCTGGGTGTACTGTAGAGACAGGTTATCGATGTACTACATACATGTACATGTACATGTACATATACATTTAATAATTATTACATAAGTCCTGTACGACTCTATAAGCTCTCAGATACCGCTCCTGCTTGTTGTTTCTTCAGGGCCCGTCTGCAATTCCAGAAGAACCCTTATTTTTTTTATTTTTTTTTTGTGTCGGTACGGAAGACTAATTTGCCTCCTGAATTCTAGCACTGCACTGGAGGGACCCTGCAGCGCTAGAAGAAAGCCCTAAATATGCTACAGGCGCAAACTATTTCCACTTTCGTACAGTTCATGCTAAATAGAACGGGGTCTGTCTGTAATTTTGATTTTGTATTGATTCTGTATATATTACAAATAAATTACCTATCCAATTCAGATTCAGATTATGTAATAAACAGGTTTAACAGTGGTCTAACCATATAAGGAAGGTTGTATGGCGCTAAGCTCATGACAGTGGCTTATAATGACTTACTCTAAATACGCCCCCAAATGCCAATTTTACGTGAAGCTAAACTGTATAAGGTAGGCCGTTACTAGTGAGCAAATACTCCCAGTATGTGCATTTTCCTTGTACTGTACTGCAAATGTACTGTACAGCATCTCCAGGTGTTTACACGGCATTCTGAACCTGATTTTTCTCCCTTTGACACTTTCAAGGAAAACCATTGTCTAGGACTATCAGATGAATGCAGATGCGTATTAAAAACAAGATGAAGCTTCTGACCCCGCTGACCGTTTGCCGCTGGTCTCGGTCCAATGCCTCCATGAGTTCGTAGCCAACTTGATATTCCCGCCCATCTAAAGACTAAAAGAGCAGGCAGGGATTGAGCTTACATTCAATCAATCCCACTCATTCTTGAAACGTCTAGTCGGTTGTAATTGTTTACATCTCCTTCTCGGAGAGTTTTATATGCAGGACCTGACTGACAAGACGGTATAGACCCTACGACCCAGAGCTTCTGCGAAGACAAGCTTAAAAATGGTATGTATAGTATCATGCACCTTAGAACAGCGGGTAGTTACAGCGTAGTATTGTTTCAAAAGAATTTTAGCGGCCGGGGGTGGTGAAGCTGGATTGCAAAGCACATAAGCCTAGAAAAGGGTTGAGCAAAGCTGAGCATATAAAAATGAATGATCCCCCCGGCTCTACTTCTACTTCTTCTTCTTTCCTTCAACCTAATTCATTTCTCATTTTGTTCGTTAAATTTCCTCTTCGGCTTTTGACACTTGCAGTGGTTGATCTCTCCTTTCCCACCAAGTGATCGGACATTCATTTCATATCTATTATCTTGGAACCTGTAGTAGAATCGAAAGTTAGCAATGAAGGTACGCAAATGGATCAATTATATTAGAATAATAAAGATATTGCTTGAAGCTGATCATCATTTCTTCAGTTCCTTTCCCTCACCCTGATGACCCTTGTTGGGCTTCTTACCAGCACTCTGGCTTTGCCCAAGTATGTGTCATATCATTTTATTTTCAACTCGTCGTTTGACCCCCTTCCTCTTCTATCATTCTAGTCTTCCGTCATTAGCCAAAGCTTCGAGTCTGTCATTTCATGCGTAGACATTGATGCTGATAAAAGTATTCCCTCCATCCTTAGTCCAACCGAACTCGGCCTCAGCGCCCGTGGGGGGCCCGCTCTGGATTGCTATGACCACAGATACAAGGGGCACAAGTTTGCCGCCAACGGGAGATATGCCATTCGAGAGGCTGGCAAGAAGCGGGATAATATCAAGGGGAAGAACATCTATGAAGTTACAAAGAAATATTGCCATCAGAACAACGGCCATCGATTCACGCGCCGCTCTTCCAAGAAGGAAAATACCTACTGGTTCCAAAACGCATGGAAAAACTTCCCGTTGCCCTTTGTCCCGATGGGCATCGAAATCATCAATTACGGGAAAGCGGGGCGGATCAATGCGAAGGTCTGCACGGATATGATGGCCAGGCTCATTTCGGGTTGCATTGCTCAGAAGGCGTCTCGGCTAAACCATTTCAGAGGTGGACTATTGTCAGACGGATCTGGGTGGACTTACCACATATACTGTGACGCAGACTACTGTTGGTCCTGAGGGTTCGTTCCAACGGGTTGCGTCCTGGGGGTGGCGCATCATGTATCGACTTAAGCTTGTCTCGGTCCCTTATTTAGTGTATTGCTTCTCTTATTTTGTATTTGCTCTCCTTTTGTGCTTCTTGGCACAAGTGGTATGAGGTCTTCATTCTTTGGCCTTTAATAACTCGGATTTTTAACAGCTAGTTTATTTCCTGTAATAATATTACTATCGAAGTCAGTGCTGTTGCTTAGATACACCCCAAGGTGAGTGTGGAGAAAAAAAAAAAAAAAAGAAAGGAGCTATATAGACATACTTGTTGAGGAGTCTTGTAATAGTTATGTAGCATGATTGAGGGCTGCTGCTACACCTGTATTTTGCTGCATAGAAGGTCCGATATTTAATATAAGGTCATTCCGGGATAGTCAGGTGAAAATACGAGGAAGTGTATTGTTAGGGATTAGTTAGAATGAGAGAAGGCTGTTGAATCGCCTGGGAATATATTAATTACAGCTGAGCATGTGAAGGCCGGTGATGTATGCAGGGGGGGTATGTGCATGAGAACACGACAAATAAAAGAAGACGAAAGCAGGGAAATACGCCATAAACGCACAGCAGTTGGATGCCGTCTAAAAAACAACCGCCCAAAAATGAACGCCCAAGCATAAATAAAATGATACATCGTAGAACGTCATCGAGAAATGTATGTAATCTAGAAAATAGATTTACAGATAAAAGAAAAAATGAAAAATGAAAGGCAATATGTTAAATCACCAAGCGGTTATATCTTCCACCTCAGCTTCACCAAAGGTGCTACTCTTCGTCAGCTTGCCCACTTGGGCTACAACACCATTGGCATCTTCACCAGGCGCACTCATGATGTCGGGCAGGACTTCCCTGAAAAACTCAAGAATATGGCGGTTAACCTGCTCGAACTGGAGAAGGAAGGCATCATGTCCTTCGGGGCTATTAATGTTTTTTAAGCGCGAATCTGGAATGCCATCTGCTATCTCCTGCTGCTCAGCAAATGTGAATAGGCCATCGCTTTCAATGCCAATGACCAGTGCCGGTTGCTGGATTTGCGAGAGGGCATCTTTTACTGGGGTTTTGGAGTTAGGGTCGACTCGGTGTCTGGAGACGTCGTGGGTATCAAGCTTCCGTGTGATTGCAATGTAGCAATTGCTGTCGAATCGTTTCACGAATTTCTGCCCTTGGTATCGCAGATATGACTGGGCGGAGAAGTAAGTTGTTGGGCGATTGCCAGTTTTGAGAGATGTTGTGGAGGAAGGAGAGTCCGGTGCGGAGAAAAGCGTGGTGCCATTGAACTGGGGGTCGGTGAACATCGCGTGGGATTCTAGGTCTGTATCGTCCGTCGATGGGAGCGTTGGTGGCAGGGGTCGGGTACTCTTGTGGCCATCGTTATGAACGGCCAGATGCTCATTGGGGGGTGTGGGGAGGCGTGCCATGCCGTTGATATTTTGTCTTCTCGAGGGGTCAGGGACATTTCTGCCGAAACGAGATTCAAATGAATCTCGGCTTCGATAGGTGAGCAGAGCGGACATGCGAGCCGCGCCCAGACCGCTTGCAGGGGGGTCTTCGAAGGAGTAATAGCCGTCCTCATATTTCGGGTCGCTGTATATACTTTGGCGTTGCGCCTCGCCCCAGCTGATACCCCATGCTGAGTGGCGACTTGAAGTGGCGATTGGCACGATACTCCGTACGTAGTCCTTGCCAAAATATGCATATTCCAGAACAAGCATCCCACCCATAGAGCCTCCTACCACTGCTGCGATTTGCCCAACTCCTAGATCATCCAAGACAAGTCTGTGGATTCTGGAAGCGAAATTTGTCAGCCACTTATCATCACAAAAAGTCAAAGTCGTTGGATACTGCTCAGCTCATACTTCACGTCATCTCTGATCGTTGTCAACGGGAATTCAGGGCCGTATATGCCTTTGTTCCTGTCCCCATTTTTATATGTAACAGCACTCGCGCTGCCGTATGGGCTGCCTAAGCTGTTCAGGCAAACCACAAAAAATCTGGTTATATCAAAAGCCTGGCCAGGGCCACCGAGCAATGGGCCCCACCAGTCACTGACGTCTGCACTGCCGCTCAGGGCATGACATACGACCAACGCATTGTCTCCCGAGGGTGATAGGGTCCCTCTTGTTGTATATGCGACTGGAACATTGTGTAGGGTGACTCCGGATTCAAGGGTGAAAGAAGGGATTACAGCGATCGATTGGTCGGTGATGAGGGCGGAAAAGGGGTTCTCAGGTTGCGAAGCGACTCTCTCTACGGGATTTAGTAGCTGTTCAACAGAAATTTTTTTTGCCAGAGACCGATAGGAGGGGAGATAACTGGTGTTATACTGACGGTATTGAGGGGTTTTGTTAGGGCCCTTGTTATTAGTCCTAATGTTTGCGGAGACCATCGTGTCAAGTTATTGGTCGATCCTGCGAAACAAATTGGCAATTGACAGCGCTAAGGCGATGTATATCAACGGGACAAAGACAAAATTATATCTAGAATGAGGACATGGAGGGATCGAGGTTGTTGAACAGAAGCAGATGGGAACAAAGCTGAGGATTAAGAGAAAAAAAAAAAAAAATTCCGGCTGAGTAAGCTGGCGCCAAGAATGGTTCCACCCAGTGGAAACGCAGGTGATGATGCCATTTCCGACCAATCAGATGTCGCCAAAATAGCCGTGGAGGAGGAGGCGGAAGAATATTTTGCCGCGTTGCCGAAAAAGCTTAGCCGCCGTCAGGATAAACCTCGGTAGACAGGGTTTGTTTAACGCGCTGATCGATTATCGTTTATACGCAGGTAGGGGAAGCTGTTTCATGTAACAACTGGTATGTATTTTGCTTAACCAATATATCTAAGTGTATAATCTATGTGTATATGTGTAGTATGTCTGAAGATAAGTATATGCCAATGTTGTTATATCCAGAGGGCAACAAAAGATTTCAATATAGTCATCATCATCAAACATTAGCAGGAACTTTTTGTAAAGGCATAGAAGCCATTCAAAAGAATCAAGAAATATATCAAGTAAATCCGCTCATGATACGCGCATCTCAGCATCTTGGAACTCATGTTCCTCATCGTTCTCCTCATCATATTCCTCGTCATCTTCCTCGGCTTCTTCATCCGTGCTACTATTTTCCCTGACATGGCGCGAGGGCGAAAGTTCGTCCTTGGAGGTATCATTGAGGATCCCTGGCTGCTTTCTCCGCTCGAAATCCTGTGCGTGGGCATTTGCAAGCATCGTACCCACGCGAGACAGCGTCCGTGTTAGCTCCGGTGGAGTTGACATCTTGCGTTGTCGAATCGAACAAGGCCGATTCTCGAGGTCGACTCCGGTCGCAGTCTGGGAATCCTCCAGCAAATTCCCTTGCTGTAAGGGATCGTGTTGCTCCTCTAATCGCTCAAGTGAGGCCCTAGATGGGGATGGGATTTCATACGGAAGTGGAACATCTCGTGAGGCGCGGAACCGGGCAACGTTTGTACAGTGCTCGTTCTCGACACGGAAAATAGACCACATTCCTCGTCGGCATACTTCGGAGAATGAGAGGATGAAGCTAAGGATGGCCGAGTGTTGATAATCATGGGGGAAGATGGCGTAGAATATCCAATTGAAACGGAGGATAGGGTCGATGGCCATTGCTAAGTAGTATACCCAGCGACGACGGAAGGCTAGCGAATCCCGAAGGAAGGGGTGTTTGGAGTACGGATTTCCCAGACTCCAGTCCATGGCAAGGTCCCAGATAGAGGTGTAGATAGCGTTAATACAGGCACAGGTTATGAAGATGGCTCGAAGTTGATCCACTTCGTGAATTCGGTAAAGACTGAGGGTCATGTAGTAGAGGATTGAGAAGGAGTATTTTCCAAGGTTTACAATGTGGGGGAAAACGTTTTTAGTATCTAAATAACGTCGGATGCATTGGAAGGAGCGCCAGATAGATGGAACTGTCGAAAGGAAGCCCATCACTCGTGAGTGTGATGAATTGCACCTCGGTGCATTATCCCATCCTTTGTTGTATAGACAGAAAAATAATGAAATGTTCTTTGGTGTCTGTTAGCTTTTTCCACGTATGCGATTTAATTCAAGACTACTTACACTCATGGCATATGTCTGGGAGCAGTACATATCGCCCAGAAAAAAGTCTCGAAACTCGACAGGGTAGAAACCCGCGAGTAAAAGCCGCCACTGTGTATTATTAGCATAACTAAACAGGGACGGAACGGGCTACATCGGCCCCCTAAACTACTCACATTTGAATAGGCCCACCATCGTCTAGTTCGATGGTAGAACAAACGAATTGGGATAAGCAATATAATTAGGGTGATGCCTATTAAAAGAATAGGCCAGTATATGTACGCGCTATTCACCCAGCGGAAGTTCAGTAATAAAGTGATTCCAAGTAATAGGGAAAAGAAACAAGGTAACTATATCGCGGGTTAGCTGGCAGATTGACGATGAAAACAAATGTATGAGATTATTATACATTACCTCCGACAGCTCTCGCCAATCCAGAGCATGGCGAGTATCGAATTCAAAAACGAAGGCATAGTTGATTTTAGATGCGCCCCAAATTTTGCAATCCAGACAAAAAAGAAGAAAGTGGAAGACGGCAAGGAAATACCCACCGTATATCTGAATTTGAAAATTAGCAAATTCCCAAATGGAAACGGGAGCAACGATGTAACAAACCTGGAGCAAGTTCGCGGTGTACAGGCGAATTTCGGGATCCCCATAGTGCAGCCGGCGAACGGCATGTGTCAGGCCGTGAACACCAAAGACAACACCACCAGCAAGCATTAAGCCATTTCGAAAGGCGTTCGAAGAATAATCATAAGTTCTTGATGTTTTGCCACGAAGCTTGCGAACAGCCACTTTACGATTCCCTCTTTCGAAATAGCGTGTGTAAAGGTCCTCAACGGACACCATGTGATTCTCCACGACCTCACTTTGGACGAACCAGGCCTTGTTCACCTTCTCTGAAACGTAGCGACCGGTTGGGCGTGTGCTGGTAACTTTGTCGTACTTTTTATTCATTTTGCGAAACGCTTTTCGATTTAGGTCAGCATAGGCCTTAAGGAGTTCCAGACCACGATAGAACTCTATCAAAGCAATTTTCAGCTTCCTTTTGGCAGACCGATATGAAACATCATATAAATCTTCATGGCGGACAAAATCTCGCTGCTCATCAGGGTGGGAACTCATTGGTACTGGACCAGAGGGAGTTGCAAGTTGTTCCATTGCTTTCGAAGTCTTTCTTGACCGTGCTTTATTTAGTTTATCTCCCAGAGGAGTCTTCCATTTCATTACGGAAGCAGCAGTGTCAGACTTGGAAGCAACGAGCCGGGCTTTAACCTCGAGATTCCGCTTGTTGGTCCTAGTTTCCGCGACTCTAGTATCTCTCATCAGATGCAGCTGTGACCTTAACGCTACAAGCCGGTCACTGGCCTCCTTCTCTTTCATATGATAAAACGATTCGATCTTTCCCAACTCCTTATCCAAAAAGGCAAAAAATTCCGATTCTTTATGTTTGAGAGCCATGGAAGCATCAACAGGACCACGCATCATTGTATGGTCGTTGTGAGTCCTAGAAGTAAACACATTTTTTAAGCGAGCTTTTTGGCTATTTAGCACTCGGCTAGGAACTGAATGACCCCTTAGCCGGCCTGCATTGTTAGCTCCTCGGGGGTTGGTGGAGGTAGAGTTTTCACTGTGAGTGTTTGTCAATTCCACTGTTCCATTATTATCAGCAGCATCCCCGGCAGCCTTTATGGGTTGTATAGCATCCACCCCGGACGACCACGGCATACTCCGAACTGAAGTTCCTGGACGGGAATGAGGGTCCTCTAGGTCCAAGGCAGGGCCCGGAAGTTCCAGAGAAGGAGGAATTGAGGGCGACACCTGTTGCGGGGTTGATGTTACAATGCTGCCGTAACTGCCAGGCTGCTCATTGAACCGGGACCCGGGAGACTTCAGAGGGCGTCTTTCTGGAACGACAACCGATAGCGTATCCCCATACTTTCCACGGCTGGGATCGCGTAGAGCAGGCTCAGGCCGTTCCAGGAAGGCAGGGGATTTCTGTCCCCGAGCCAAGGGGGACACTTGATGCGAGAGGGAGTGCGATCGAGGGAAATCGAAATTGGGGCGATCTTCATGTTGGAAGATCTGGCTGAGCCGTCTACGGTGGGCAAAAGGAGATTGCTGTTCAGCATGACGAAGAGCTCGAGAAATTGCCTTGACCTTCTTTTTGCCAGCCTATATAGTAGGAAGCAACGGTTGTGTTAGGAGCAATAAGAAAAGTGGAAGTAGTTACGCTCTGGGTATATGTATGTACTGTACATTTGCATACCTTATAATCTAAGTATTTCGCCCTCCACTCGGGTACTAAATCCTCTTCGAGCTCCCTATAATGAGCAATTGGTTAGTTATAACTAGATAACTGAAGCTATGGAAAACAAAAGGTTTTTTCTGAATACCATCACAATTAGGTGTCATGCATTCAACTTACTTCGCGAACTTCATGATACTACTATGTACAGATACAGGAACATTTAAACGACGACAATGGCATTATTGTTCATTTGTCAAATGAGGACGATCAATTGAGAGGAGGAGGGGAAAAGGGGGGGGGGGGGGGAACGGCGAGACAAAACGAGAGACAGACTAGGAAACCTGATTTTAAATATGCAATTGTAGAGCATGATGAAGGGTCTTTCTGGAGAGGATTAAAAGCTGATCCCGCCTTGAGTTGTTTGATGCAGGAAAAAAGAAGAATAACTAGAATAATCCAATCCAGGCCTGGAAAATGGAAGGTTTTCACGTGGGTGGGGTGGGGATGGGGGTCAGCCGCCGGGCACGCTCTACCTACCCGTATTACCGCTAACAGTTAGCGGAGTGAGCCCGGAATGGGGCCTAGTCCTGCCTGGAAGCCCGGGAAAATTAGGGAGCAAGCCTGGGCAAGCGTCCTTCTGGGCAGGCAAATGTTGCAGAGTGACAGAAGTGACAGATTGCAGTGTGTATTTAGCGGCTTTAGCGGCTTTAGCCACGTTTGCCCACGCGGGTTTGATTTAGGCCATCCAGGGCTGGAAACAGTTGGAAACAGCAAAAGATCTTCATCGCTCGCCAAAACATCTCGCAGCAGCCAGTAGGGCTCGCCTTCCAAGCGATGTCAATCATTGTCAGCTCAATTGCCAAGCCGTGTCAAGCGCAAAGACCTCCCCAGTGTCACTATCCAAGCACCACAGCCAGCCCCGGAACTCGGAAAATTTACGGAGTTCTTACTATGCGTAAGGCCTCAGGCCAATCGGGTTGCTGGCTTGTGGCAACGCTGCCTGTGCGCCTACTACTAATGTTTCACCTTTGACAGCATTTGATAATTAACGTTAACTACAACAGTTCTTAACTACTCACCGGTATGGTATGATAGTTAGCAGCCCATATGGTATGTCAGTCGAAACATAATAAATACTAGCAGATCTAATCCATCCGTATTGTTTGTTGGGTTCAATTCTTCTTTCTGGACCAACCAGAATTGAGCATTGAGCATAATGATAGATGAGCTCATATTTTTACGTACCGTTATTGGCAGGTTATTTAATGCTACTGCTTTCGAGTGGCTTGCAGATTTCCTTCTGCTCCAAATCCTCTGGATGAGCTCGCACCTGAGAGCCCAGTCACCGCCCCTTGCATCTGCCCTCTTCAATTGGGCGCGAAATTTCCCCATCCTGAAGTTCTCCCCAGCATTTTTTCCAGCATGGCGGGGGTGTCCGATGGACCGCCACCCCTGTCACATCTCTAGGCCTGATGACTGGGTTGTAGCAACGTGGAGAATTCCGGCAACACTGTTTGAAATACATTATTCGCTCTCTTCTGGTCTGTACCACAAAGGAGACAGGACGAAAAGCTCCTCCTGGGGGGTTGTGTGTTCCAAAGGCCACGAGGCAGTTCTGTCCCACCACCCCCAGCCGGAGCCTGGCCTCAATCCAACCAAGTTCGAAACCATTGCAGCCCAGTTTTCCAATCCCCCTACCGGTTCCTCGTGGATTGGTGGTGCCTTGTTTTTTATCCCTTCCACTTCCGCCGGCTTCAAGCCTTGTAGTCGGTAGAGTCATATGCCAGGGTTTTTAAGCTTTGTTGAGACTGATGAAGATATTGTGACGTAATAAATAAAGATCTTTAACTAATGATGCGGGAGTTCCACCGGTTTGTTGACCCGTTAAAATGGTTTCTGAAGAATATGCCACAACTCTAACAATGCCGATTCACAAGATATCGGATTGGCCGTTGTCATCCTTGAGGAAACCCCCATTGGAATTGGCGAATTTTCTTTTCTTTTTGTTCTTCTCACAATGGTTCAGATTTGGCATCACAGAGGTCGTGAACATCGATCAACTATTCCGGACGCCCCGTCTCAAGACACCTGCAGTGCCCTCGTACTCCTTCGCAAATGATGTAGTCATGTGTTTTTGCCGACCATCAAGCTTCATAGCTTCATTAATCCCATCCCTTAAATCTCATGGCCGAGTTGGTGGTGGTGGTGGTGACATTAGCGTTTGCACTCTGCTAGGGAGGATAAAATTTGCGTTTGCGCTGAAGCAATTGCCTGCGCTCTCGAGTGCGAGGATTCAGATTTTGCTAGTGTCGATAATCTAGTATCCATGTATTGAGCATCTTCAATCACTGCGACTGGGATCCTTGAAGCTGCCAATAATAATAATAGGATAGCAAGAGAATGTGAAATTCGTATAACTTATGCCAAGTCCCTGTAATGTTAGCTATGTATCCCCCGCCGGAATATATATTCGCCGTTATCTCTGTCGAGTCATATATTTCCCCCACGCCTCCGGGTTCGGACTTCTTGATATTGTCAATACATTGGTTCGAATATTGATAGCCCAATCGCGCTATAACATGTCAACTCCGTCAAAAAAGCGATGCGGTAAGGCCATTTCTCTGGTCACTTTGTATGTGAAAGTACGAGGGCGTTGCTAATACCTTCCCAGGTGTCCTAGGAGCAACCGGCGCAGTGGGAACGCGCTTCATCCTCCTGCTCGAGAAAAGCCCCTTACTCGAACTGGTAGCGGTAGGTGCTTCGGAGAGGTCAGCGGGTAAGAAATATCGCGATGCCGTGCGCTGGAAACAAGCGTCGCCGATGCCTGCCAGCGTTGCAGACCTGACCGTCCGCCGCTGTGCCCCCTCTGAATTCTCAGACTGTGATATCATTTTCTCCGGCCTGGATCCTGTTGCTGCTGGTGATATTGAGATGGCATTTCTCAAGGCAAACTTTGCTGTCTTTTCCAATGCGAAGAATTATCGACTGGATCCTATAGTACCCCTGGTGGTGCCCTTGGTGAACGCGGGGCACATCGATGTGATTCCGGCGCAAAGGAAGCATTATGGACTTGACAAGGGACTGATCGTTTGTAACTCAAATTGTGCGGTCGTGGGACTGGTAATTCCGGCCAAGGCACTTATTCAAAAGTTTGGCCCTATTGAGTCAGTGAGCATGGTGACCATGCAGGCTGTGTCAGGAGCAGGCTATCCTGGCGTCAGCAGTAAGTACCATACATATATCGTCACAGTGGTGGGCAGAATGACCCCTTTCGTCAATTGTCTTACTGAATTTTGTGTCAGGCATGGACATCTTCGATAACATTGTACCCTTCATCCCTGGCGAGGAGGGCAAGATCGCCACCGAATCACGCAAGATTCTAGGCAATTTGAACCCAGACCTCGCTGGGTTCAGCGACCAACAACCCCTCCAAGTTTCCGTTGCGTGCAACCGCGTCCCAGTGCTCGACGGCCATACCGTCTGTGCATCCTTACGCTTCGTAAATCGCCCTGCACCCACCGCGAGCCAGGTCCGCGATGCGTTGAGAGAGTACAAATCAGAGGTTCAACTGCTAGGGTGCCCTTCCGCGCCAAGGCAGGCTATTCATGTTCTAGATGATGTGGACAGGCCGCAGCCCCGCCTCGATAGAGACACCGAAGCGGGCTATGCTTGCAGCGTAGGGAGGATTAGGGAAGATGATAGTGGGGTTTTTGACATTCAGTTCGTTGCTCTCAGTCATAATACAGTTCTAGGTGCATCAGGCAGTAGTATCTTGAACGTGAGTTTTAATAAAATCCCTTCTAGTTCCTTTAATGTCTTGGTCCAAATATATATATATATATATATATATAAATGCTAACACCAACCTTTCACTGAATGTAGGCGGAGAGCGCGATTCTGAAAGGATATATATAACTTCGTCCGCCCCCTGGGTAGGTTGCTACACCGCGAACGACCTATTCGTTCGTGGCACATGCTCTACGCCTGATCCCCTTATGCGCTGAGCGACTTTGGTCGCCAACCTCCGTACCACTGTGGACCCTCGAATTTCATGAGAGATCATGGTGTAAAATATCTTCTTATCCTAGACGTCACATACATGTGAAAAAAAATCTAAGCAAAAAGAATTTAATATAAAAGACCAACGCAGTGTGCTGGGAGTTCAGTGGCTTTTTAATCTCGGAGCAACTTTATGTTATGTTGATATTCCTCGAGAATTGAAAGCATGCCAGATGAAAATTGTGAGGTCGATTTTTTTTTTTCTTTTTTTTTTCCCCCCTCCCTAGAACGGTTTTAGACAGGCATTCGTTTCTTCCGATATTATTATTATGTATTATATTTATTAAGGCTGGATTGGAACAAGATTAATTTCTTTTCCGTATATCATACCTGTGGCTTCAATCTGTCCATAGCGTGTGCGTATCACATCATATATCTCCCTAGTATGGAAGCAGACAGCTCACTCGATACGTGACTGGTTCTCGTTTTCATTCATGGCATGGGCGTCTACTGTGCGGCATCACACTGACATTCCTTGGTACATTAGCCAGGAATGCAATATATGTATAGGTTTTAATTGGTCTCGGAAAGCGGATAACAGTTCACTCGAGCTAACGATGTCTCGATGCGTAGGGGCTGAAATCAAGCAGATATTGACCATGATGTGTTTATTTAGTAGAAGGAAAATAGGAAGAGGATGAAAGACCGCGGGAGATAATCACGAATTCAGATCGTTTTCGCTTTGTTCACTCCTAAATACAAAAAATATTCAACCCCCCCCCCTCCCCTTCCGGCTCCGGTTTAAAAGAACGGAAAAACAGCCCTCACAGAACACCAAACGCAAAACATAGGAAATGACACGAAAAGGAACGAACTAAAGTGAAGAGAATACATCAAATGGAAGAGGGAGTGATCCAAAATTTAGCCCAAAGGTTGATCATGTTTCGCCGCCCCCAGCTACAGCTCCAGCAGTGCCAGACAATCCTGCCCCATCTCCCGAAAGCCCATCCAACAAGCCCGTTCCCGCCCCAGTGCCAGACCTTCGACTGCCCGCCCCGTAAACCATCTCCATCAACTTTGCCTTCTGTCTCTCCCTCACCCCCTTCAAATACTCATAAGCACCTTCAAGCCCTTTAATCTGGCCTTCAACCACCAACTCCACCGAACCCTGCGCACTACTTCCAACCCCTCTGCCCATGTACTCTCTATCCCCGCCACTACCACTTCCACCGCTGGCCCCTAACAGCCCAAAACCGACCGAATCATTCCTCCTAACCAGCGGGCTAACCAGCTTCCTCCGCAACGTCTCCAAATTCACCTTGAGGGTCAGCAGCTTCCCGCGATGGTCCATCAGAAGATGCTTATTGGCGACAGTCCGCTGCCGCACCGACGACAGCAGCTGGCGGTTCTTTTCATACTTGCGCAGCGCAGCGGCGTTGGGGCCCAGCACACGCGTCCACAGCGATGAGAGCATCTCACCCTCCGCACGTTCCTGCGCGTCCGACTCGCGCACAACCGTCCGCTGGAGGTTCAGGAACTGGCGGTCTATGGACTCGAAAAGGGCGAAGAGGGCGGACGAATGCGTCAGTTCGCTGTTTATAGACTCCTCGAGCACGGCGAGGAATTCGGTGAAGGTGTGAGTGAGGGTGCGGTGGGTGCGCTGCGAGCGGGTTGTGCCGAAGATTGTTGTGATGAGAGAGCCCAGGCGGGTAGGAGAAGGGAGGGGCGATTTGCTGCCGTCTGGGGATGTAGTTACAGCGGTTTCGAGCGCGCCGAGACGCGAAAGGAGGGAGTGAAAGTTGTCGAAGAAGATAGATGGAAGGGAGTGCGCGGGTTGCGAAGAGAGGGCTTCCAGTTCACGTTTTGCCCAGTCCATGACAATCAGGATGGAGTCGATGTCAGCATCGACATTGGCGAAGAAGCGGGTTAGTTCTAGAGAGAGGGTCTTGAGGGACTCGGAGAGCTCGTCTAGCTGCCGCACGATGACTGGGGCGCTTGTCATATTTGTGCCACGCACAGATTCGCCCAAATCCCAGACGGCGACTCCGGTTTCTTGCAATGCGCCGATTTGTTGGACGCCATTTTCGGAGTAGTATATCAATGGCTCGAAGGAGCGCGCGAGGCCGGAAAGTTTGACCAGATCAGGGACGGGCAGGGGGATAGGAGGGAGGAAAAGAGCACGGATAATTACGAAGGAAATAATGCCTATTAGGAAGGATAAAACGGTGTTTGTGCGGCTTTTGGTCACGGAATCAATTTTTTGGCTGACATAGTTGAAGAATGCATCGAAGGGCTCCCGGTGCTGAACTTCCGCACGCACGGCGAAACGGATATCTATATACTAAGTTAGCACAAGAAAGGGTTACAACCGGACAAAAAAAAATAAAAAAAAAAAATAGGTAGATGGCGTCAATATTAGCCAAAGATTCTAATCAAGGAAAAATTGAAAATGTATTACAATTTGTAAAAGAATCCGACGTAAGTTCCTGGGGTGATAGATCGAATTGATCACTGGTATTATTAGGATTACTCTCATTCTTTCCCTGGGCTTTCCCTTCGAGCTTTATCGAAGGCGCAGGGCTAGGCGACCTGCCCTTCTGCGGTGACTCAGCGCCCACGGGTAAGGGTATATTTGCAGGTATCGTCAGGTCAGCGGGGTCATCTTCTCCAGTGACCAAAGGTTTCTCAAGGGCGTCTTCATATTGCGGACTAACTTCTCTTGACCGCAGAGGGCTGCAATCATATGTCGGTTTTAAATCCGGTTTGTCACGTAGATACGGTTGGTGCCGATACCAAGCGCTGCCAGGTGTTGGGGGAAAGTGTTGCTGTTGCAAGAGGTATCTCCGTTGCTGGTACACCGGGGGTGACCAGGGATCGTCAATGCTAGAGTCTATATCTGTGTCTGGGTCACGGTCATTGGTATCTTCAGATTGGAATCCCGAGTGTTGAGATGGGAGATCGAGGAGGGGTGAAGGGCGGGAAGAGTCCTCGAAGTCCTCAAGCGAGGCGGTTAGCGAAGGGTGTTCATCAAAGACGTTGTCCAGTTCCTCAAGACGGACGGGCGCCATCATGGACATTTGGGCTCCTTTTGAGCACTCAGAAAGAGTTTCCTCCCAGGTTGCGACGCAGAATATTCCGACACGAAGGGCTGAGAAAAGGTGTGTGTATAGTGAGTTCGATTGCGCTCGAGCGGAGATTGGCAGACGGTTGACTCCAACAACGGCATGCGCCAATTATCGAACCATTATGCGACCGGCAAACGAAGTCAAAAAGATAACGCTGGGCGCCGAGTGGAGGCTGGGCTGGATAGGTAGGTATGTCAATCAAGCCTTGAATCGAGAAGGAGAGAGAAGGACAGGAAACAGTCACTCAATCCGCGATCTCGACCAGCTCTGTCCGCATTTATTTGCCTGTTCGATAGTTCATCGGCGTCAGTGTTCCTGAGTTAACTACACCACACCGCGAAAACCAAACACGCTATGTTATCGGTTAACTAACTTAGTAGCTAGGCGGCAGTCACAGTTTCGCGTGGACGCGGCTTGAGGGCGTGTTGAATAATAATAATCAAGGAGATCAGGCAGCCAGTGCGATTCTTCTCCAGATGTCTGTCTAGGCACTCGCAGTTCATGTGCAAGAGTTGTTGGAGGGTTGCGATGATACACGATGCCGCGGGGGGGGGGGGGGGGGGGGGGGGTTGGAGGAGAAGAGAAACGGCGCCTGGGTTCGAACGAAAGAATACACTAGTAAGTAACTAAGTTAAGCAAGTCGGGACAAGCACACAAAGCACACCCACGGCCCAACTAGCAGGATTCCCTTGGGCCTTTGGATGGGATGATATGATGGCACAGCAGCGGGCATCAGCAGGTCTGCGAAAGCTGCTGTGACTGGTGCATCTATCTGGCTAAAGTGCGTGGAACTGTGGACTTGTAAGTTAGTTAGTTATTAGTTTAACTTAGTTATCCGTGGCCAGTAAAATACGCCCAGCCCGTCTTCTTCTTCTCTCTTCTGCTTGCTTGCTGTTGCTGCTGTTGTTGCTGCCAATAATAGCTTTGGGTTTTGCTGCTGCAGTTGAAACGACTTTGATTCAGAGGCTCCGTCGATAAAGGATTGAGAAAGAAAGAAAGCTGTGAATTCAGATTCTAATTAATAATGTCACTGCTCGCTGAACGAACAAAATACAGTGTTGATTTTGGATGCATTTTGCATTTGCGACGGACGTAAGTTAAATAACCAACCAACCTTGGAATTGGAATTGGAACTCTGAGCCACCACCGCCCGCCCGCAGCCAGCCCTTAACCCGGCCACAACTCGCTCTCCACATAAATAACCACATAAGCCAATCTGATGAGAGTGTGGGCTGGCTCACATAACCGCGTACCTTTACTCCGTTAGTTATATCCAACATCGTAGAAAATCCGGGGGGGCTGGCCCAATCACCGAGTGGCACATCATATCATGGCTTGCGGATCATTCGAAACTGTCGCAAAAAAAAAAAAAAAAAAAAAAAAAAAAAAAAAAAAAAAAAGCATAGAGTAAAAGCCGATATGGGGTTGTGATCGGTTTCCTGTGAAGAAGATTATTCGCGGGAGCTATCTAGCCCTTTCCCCTGCAGCGAAGTATCTCCAACGGTACAAGATATAAGAGGCGAGGAGGAAGTACTTGTACTGTACTCCGTTAGAGAGGGATGTCTCATTCGAAATACAATAATACAAACAAACACCCCTGCGCAGTATAGTTATATAGTAGTTATAGTTATATAGCCCGGTAGGTACCCCAAAGTGGGCCAAAATGGAACGTCGATTACTTTGCAAGTCATTGTATGGACATTATACACACTATCGCACAACTCGAAGGCTGCTTGAGCAGATCCAGGTTGTGAACTGTCTGCAAAGGCAATCATCATCGATAATACAGAGAGCCCTTTGAAATACTTAGCCTCTGACAACTATTTCTGCGCTTATGTTGTTGCTCTTTGAAACATTCGTAGCCAGCGACATTCATCTTCCAACTGAGTCTTGGGCGGTAGCTCTGTGCACCGCTTTTCTTTTGACTTCACAGAATCTTTGTGGAAGTGGTGGACATACATACATACTATTAACTACATAAGAGGGAAATCACAACATAGCCGCAAATGAAGCCGCTGGGCAGGTTGCATTTTGAAATCCAGAGCAATAGAGTGCTCGTGCTCGTTAAGTTACGACTGCCAACCTACTCAGCTCGATCACAGCTACACCAGCAGACCACAAGATTGAAGCCAGGTTCAGATGATATAGAATTGGAGCCGGTTCCTAGAGAACAACTCCATGCCAAAATCTCTCTATATCCTTTATCAAGCACCGTAGGGCCGCTTGTTCTCTATGAGCATTCTCAAAAGAGACTCACTCCATGGCAAATCTGCACATCAAAAGGGTTTAACAGCCAATGCCGTATTGGAAGAGCCTGGTGTCAGGAAAAAGAGGTTATACACTACTGAACGCCACCAACATCATATTACTACAATATTTCTCATCATCATCAGCTTACTACAACGCTCGTCTAATACTCGCTTATGCTAGCTCTCTTGGCTCGCACATATATTTTACTATAAATAGCTCTATCTTTTGTATGAAATAGATAGATAAGATAGTGCACGGATAATATAACAAGCAGATCTTGATACAGATAAGATTCATATGTCTTCAACATATTCATCTGTGACACCCAATCCGACAGTTATGAGCCCGGTAAGCAGCATCTGAAGAGAAGCGCGATACACCACCGATCTCAATCCTCATTCGAATTTGACAACAATCATTCGAACTGAGAAGATTGATCCTCATTCATATACGGTCCGATCAACTCGACCATTATACCATACCAGATTCCCGTCCTCATTTGAACTGATAACTATCATTTGAACTGAGACGATAGATCCTCACTCATATACATTCCAAAATACTTGACTGATATACACCCTGAATTCTGATCATATCTATCCTCAAATACTTGAACCGATTCCTCAATCCATTCAATATAACCGATATGACAGACAAGACAATGTCTAGTGCGACAGTACACCTTAGTGTTCCTGGAGATTGGAAACTTTGGTACAAGCATATGCTAGGATATGCAAAGGACAAGAAGGTATCAGACTTCATCAATCTTGATAAACCTGATATCTTCTCTGAACTAGAAGAACCTCTGGAACCCGAGAGTCCAGAAGAAGCCACCGCGGAGGCCAAGATAGCATATGACATCAAGGTCACTGCGTGGAAAATCAAATATATGAAATATGAAAAAATGAATGAAGGTATGACAAAGATACGAGATGTCATATGGAGAACAGTGGATGCCACAGAGCTACGACATGTACGCAGCGAGGATGATGATGTGAAGGAGATTATCCATTCATTAAGAGATTGTCTCTCACCCACAACCGCGGACTATCAAGATGATGTGAGAACCCGATACCATGATCTCTGCAAAGCACCGAAAAACAGAGGTATAGAGAAGTGGTTAAATGACTGGTCTCTCATTGAAGATGATATCAAAGAGGCGGATATAGCTGGACAGTTCAACTTGAAGAAAGATTTCTTAAATGCGAACCTAGCTATTGATGCAGGTTATGCACAAGCATGGGCTAAGGATGTCCGACGTGATAAAGATGTCATATCTTTGATAGAGTTAGTTAAGGACTTCAAGGAACGGTATAGGGAAATGGGTATTCTCAAAGGAGATAAACCTATGAACTTTGCTACCCTTAATGGAAGACCTCAGCAATCATCACCAGCGACATTCAGAAACTGCATCTGCGGAGCCCGTCACCGATACACCCAGTGCTACTATCTCAATCCATCAAGGAAGCCACCTGGATGGAAGGAAAACGGGGAGAAGAGAACTCAGATTGATCAAGCTCTTAAGAATCAAGAATTGAAGAGACATATTGATCATGCGATATCTAGAGATTCATTCACAAATACAGATATGGTAGATGCCAATGAAGCAGTCCTAGGAGGAATGGTCCTGAAGCAATCAGATCATCAATCTATCGATCATCAATCTATCGATCATCAATCTATCGATCATCAATCTATCGATCATCAACCTATAGATCATCAATCTATTGATCAGCAAATCCGAAAAATATCGATGAACTCTTCACATTCTCGCTCCTACCTCTGAAACTCCTGGATCTTTGATACTGGCGCGGAACAGCATATATGCAATAATCGAACACGTTTCCTATCCTTTACACCTGCGAACGAGAATGCGGAAGTCTATACAGGTGATTCCAGCACTAAAGTTGAAGGTTATGGAACTGTTAGAACTATCATGATAAATGAAGCAGGAAAGCAGTTCAATGTGAAACTCACCAACGCGGCTTACATCCCGAATTTCCATACAAATATCATCGCATGGAAACCGTGTTTCCATATAGGAGGCATCTATTATGATGGAAAAGACTTCAGATTGTGAAAACGCGCAGATAATACAATCTTTGCACGCGTTGAAGTATTTGGGGGGTTGCTAGTTACAGAATATAATAGTGAAAAAGCTGTTTTCTCAACTATCTCGGAAAAATCCACTACCGAAGTCGATGCAGCTACCACACCACACACATCTAACATCACTATATCTGAAAAAATGATATCTTCAAATTCTTCAACTTCTACAAATCCTTCTTCTAACCTGTCAAAACACACTTCTACAAATCCTTCTTCCAACCTGCCAATACGCACAAAACCTTCTCAAAAACCTAAGATCTCTATAGCTACTCAGTCTACATGGCATAAGAGATTAGGACATTCTTCAAAAATCGCCATTCAAAATCTTGCAAATGATGCAACTGGCATTCAAATCACCCATCAAGAAGATGCTGCGGACGAGCTTACCACCGAGCTTTGCAAACCCTGCCATCTATCTAATGCGGAAAATCAAATATCTAGACGTCCCCACGTTAGATCTCATACACCGAATCCAACACCTGAACCTACGCCAGGGCCAGCGGGCCCTAATGTTGATACAGGTCCTAATGTTGATACAGGTCCCAATATTGATATTAATACTCAACCAGCTGCAATAGATGATTGTACACGGAACATTGCACCTAGAGCTCACAATATCAGTGCTATCTTTGATGAAGATAATATCATTGAAGGCCGCAGAACCCGAAATCACAGAGCTGCCCACCTTGTGGCAGTTGCAAATGCCAAAGCCAATCCTTTTCAAATGATCAATGAAGCATACTCTCATTCTCATTCTCACCCAGACTTCTACAAGTCTCAAAATTTATTTCCTAATACTGTTTTTACTGTTATCAACAATACATCTACCTCAACAGCATCAATTCCTTCAAGGATCCATAGATCTCAACTGCCAGATCCACCGAACCACTGGGCAGATGTTGAAAAACACCCACATCGCGAAGAATCCGAGAACGCTAGGCTTCACCTCTATGCCAGAGGATTGCTGCCTCTTCTCAAATGATCGATTAATTGTCTTCTTCTATGTGGATGATATCGTCATCCTATCCGAAAGATATCAATCCGAGAACGTGTTCAATCCGGCGATATTACAGTTGATTGGGTGCCTACGGCCCAGATGCCAGCGGATGGCCTCACTAAGGCTCTGCCACGCCAGAAACATACGGAATTCGTCAAGATGCTAGGCCTAGTTGATATATCAGATATCATCAAGTCGCAAGCAGAATGATGGTATAAATGGTCTATCTTGATGTAATCTCTACAGATTCATCTACACTCTTTTTGTTGCAGCTTCATTTACACTTTCATTTACATGTTACATTCGCTGAAGGGGGTGTGTCAGGAAAAAGAGGTTATACACTACTGAACGCCACCAACATCATATTACTACAATATTTCTCATCATCATCAGCTTACTACAACGCTCGTCTAATACTCGCTTATGCTAGCTCTCTTGGCTCGCACATATATTTTACTATAAATAGCTCTATCTTTTGTATGAAATAGATAGATAAGATAGTGCACGGATAATATAACAAGCAGATCTTGATACAGATAAGATTCATATGTCTTCAACATATTCATCCGTGACACCCAATCCGACACCTGGGCTGGCCTTGTGCGGTGCCTGACAGCGGGTAAGCTCTTCTGGCTGAGAGTCAAGTACTTATCCCGCGCCGCGTTACCTTCGATGTCCGCACAAGTCAAAGGCTAATCTGATCTATTAGAGTCTTTGCATATCAATCTCGCCGAGTTGAAATTGGCACCAATTTCTCACCTCCATGGCAGCACCCTGAGACCCAAAACCCGTGTCAAGACGGACCCGTGTTCGTATTATGAGTGCCGGTAGGTTGTTTGAATAATGATGTAAGAAACATTTCCTAATTTCTCTTTAACTGACTTTTCTTTTCCTTTTGCTGTTGCTCTTCTTTTTTGGTTTTGTACTGTACGTTGTTTTGTCGCAGTTTCTCGCCGCATATGTGCTTTCAACGCTCCCTTGCGCCGTACACACTTGTCCCAGGAATCCAGGGTCGATATTAGCGCGCATATGGTCGAGGGCTGCAGATCCATGTTCCTCGTAAAACAATTCCCCCTGTTCAGAATCCGTGTTCTCACGGCCCTCATCCTATGCGCTGCTTTCTTCGTCTTCTACTTTCAGAGGGCAGCTATTGTTCTTGCGGTCGTCTCATATTGGCAACTACCTTGACGATATATCCTCGCCATTCTTTATCCCCAAGAAAATCCGGTATAAACTCGATCCAAGAGGCATAAGTCCCGAAATTCGGAATTGGGCAGACAGTTGTTCATCCAAAACCCCTACCTTCACCAGAGAATTCCTGACCGATACATCTGCGGACGAGTGCGTCAAAACACACTTTTCCCACCTCCCGGACCTTGTCGAGACCTATCTCTCCCTCCCAGTTTCCATCCCCAAAGCGGATCTACTCCGCTAGCTCCTCCTTCTTGTCGAGGGCGGGATCTGGAGTGATCTCGGCGTCTCCTACGAGGACACTTCGATTTACGGATGGATACCCGAACAATTTAAGCAAGATGGCAAACCTCGTCGTTGGCTTAGAATTCGATGTGGGATGGGATAGCGACTTTCCCCGCCTATTCGCCAGCTGGACTGTTTTAGCTAGACCCGGTTCTCGCCATCTGCAGATGGTTATCGATGATATTTTAAATGAGATCAAAGCGACAAAGGAGAAGTATAACCTTACCAGCACATCAGAGCTGCAGTTGGGGATGGTGGACGATGTGGTAGATTATACGAGCTCCAGAAGGTTGACGGCAGGTGTACTTAGGAGTCTTAGCGAGCAGCTAGGTGAGATGGTGGACAGCAGGAATGTGTCCCGTCTTCCTGAGCCCGAAATTGATAGAGGATGTCTTGATTTTGCCGCGGTACGCTTTTGCCCTTTCAGCCAACAATTATGAGGGTGTGAAATGGCCGGACGGAACGGAGGAACGGATTTTGTGCCTGGGCCGCCGTTGGTGACACACCATTATGCAGGTACTTGGAAAAGTCCCTATGGTGGGGAAGTTGTATGATTTGCCAATATATCTCCATTTGGGAGTAGAATTGTTACATACTAGATATTTTTGCCGCGGTTATGCTTCTCATGAAAGATGATTGATGCATGGAGATTATAAATACGTACTTACAAGGCCTATCTACACATGAGACACATGTGCATAAAAATCCCAGTCTTAAGGGTTAATTTTGGGACAAGCTGGAGGACTATGGATTGCGGGTGTGAGTTTGTATCAATAACGAGACCACTGAGAAACGATATGACCATACACTAACATTGATTGAGGTCAATCGCCAATAGACCTAGTTAACAGGTGAGATATTGATAGCATTTCCATAGAAAGAGACTATCGCTTTGGCGATCATTTATAAGCGATGATTGATATCGGTTAAATAATTCCTCTATTCTAGGCTACACAGAGATAAAAATTTGTAGATGCATACACGGAAAAGTAATCCAAAACCCAGCCTAGTAACGCTAAAATATTCAAACAAACGCTTGAACACCAGTCATAGCACGGCCAATAATTAAACCTGCAGGAAAATATGTGTTAGTTAGGCTTTGAACTTCGGCTGACACGGGAGATATAGCTTGACGTGTGACTGCGGGGGCAAGTTCCAGAGGTTTGGAACGTAGGGGCAGGTACGGAAAGACTTACTGTGTATATCACTCTGCCCTTCATATGTTTGGGTAACGAATAGGTTTGCTACATGACGGCCGATATGGTATTCGTCACTGGCGGCATTACCGCCAAAGATTTCCTGCAGGCTGTCGATTGGAAATGAGAAATGAGGTCAGTCACATTCAAAAAATGCCGAAATAGGCTGGTGTGGGGGGGGGAGGATGGTCCAGGCTTCGGAGGAAGCATTGCTGAAGAAACATACGTTCTTGCTCCCACTAACGCACGATCGCAATTCTGTCTCTTGATTATGGAAATCATCTCGGGTACAGACTTTCCCTCGTCATTAAGCCTAGCAACTTGAACCGCCGCCAAAGTGCCGTAAGCCGCATCCGTTGCGGCATCTGCAAGCTTCTTTTGCACGAGTTGGTACTTGGCTAGCGGGTTTCCTTTAAACTGTTTGCGTTCCAGAGCATACGTGCGTGCTCTATCAATGCAGTCCTCCAGAGCACCCATGGTCCCAAACGCAATTCCCAACCTTGCGCTATTCAGACACGTAAAGGGCCCCACGAGCCCTTCGACATCGGGGAACATGTTGGCTTCAGGAACAGGACAGGAGTCCAATTGAATCATACCAGTGATGGACGCGCGGAGGGCGGTCTTATTTTTGATCGCGGGTGTCTCTAATGTACCAGGTGGACACTGGTCTCGCTCGATGATAAAGCCCTTGATCTTGCCAGTGGTTTCGAGCTTGGCCCAAACTAGGAAATAGTCGGAAATCGGAGAGTTTGTGATCCATGTCTTCGAACCTGAAATTGAGTAATAGCCCTTTTTGGTCGGATGCGGTTTGGCGACTGACTCCATCGAGCTCGGGTCTGAGCCGTGGTTTGGCTCAGTCAATCCGAAGCAGCCCAATTTCTTCCCCTTGGCAAGATCAGGGAGGTATTTGTCTTTCTGCGCCTGAGTGCCAAATTTGTGTATGCCTGTCATGATCAGTGAGCTTTGGACAGACATGCCGGATCGGTAGCCGGAGTCTACCCTTTCGACTTCCTTTGTAATAAGGCCGGAGGCCACGGTGCTGACACCAGCACACCCATATCCGTCGATAGTGGCTCCGAGGAGACCGAGCTCGCCCATCTCCCGGATGATTTCTTTGTCATAGTTTTCATTTCGGTATGCCTCTACATAGAAATAAGCATTTTGTCAATGTCAAGGTGCCCAATTTGTTGCTCCTCCATTTTGTATGGCTCGCCAGAATGCAGGGAGTATCTATACCGTACCTAGGATCCTGGGTGCCAGCCTCTCCTGACAATATTGCCTCGCAGTGTCTTGGATAGCTAGTTCGTCTTCAGTATATAAATTTGTCGTGCCGAGCGGGTCTTGCCAATTGAATGTAGCAGTAGAGTGCGCGTATCGTCGCGGGATATTATTTGAAACAAAGTGGTTTGCTGCATGGAGTCTGCGAAAAGCGTGTCGCACAGTGAATGGATTCATATTGGATTTTCGCACGAAGGATACAGGACGGAATTGGAAACCCCTGTAGAAACAGTAGTTATCGTTTAATAATCCCAACACAATCCAGAGGGAGCGGGAACGAAGATGCCAGGAGGCACCCGGGCAAGTTTACATACTCGACTAGGTTTTAGTTATTGTCGCAGACCGACCCTTTATCAAATGCGATTGAATACGTGGGTAAAAAAAGAGGAAAAGCAAATATGATTAGAAATTAATATTGTCGAACACACAATTTATACGTTGCCAGTCAAACGCAAGTTCATTGGCGCAGTACATCTGAGAAGGAGATAGAAACAAGAGGCAGAAGGGTGAACATTTGACGTTGGTGATGGCGCTGATAAGGCTTGACGCGGCCCGAATGATGGCCCTCGGGTAACTATTGACAATACGCCGCTGCCGAAGTTCCTTCAGGAATCAGGATTGTGTCGGCAACAAAATCCCCGGCCGCCAAGATGTTCCCCGGCCCGAAGAAACCTTATCCCACCAGTGAAACCCCCCAGCGAGAGATGACAAAAGTATCACAAAGCAATTATCAAAACCATCGTCTTATAACTAACTACTGAAAAGTCAATAATAATATATTTATATTTGGGTACTTTTGATATATAAAATATACTACTAATAAATCTATACCGTGAAATTTATTTATGAATGGTAGCCTACCCATAGTAACCACCCCCTTAATTACGTTAACTGGGGTATCCTCTCTGACCACCATAATAGAGGGTACAGTGCATTAGGACACTGCAACGATAAGCAGAGCGAAGCTCTGGAGCTAGTTAGCAATCTCGTTATATCATCATTACTAGTTTCTTCAGCTTTCCACTGCAAGTGACGTATTATTGAAGCCTTTCTCATCGCAGTTATATTACTGAACAGGCACAATTTTAACTAAATCTTATCAGATATTTCCACCCCTCTATGGAGCGAAAATGAAATAATATTATGGCTTCGGTCTCTAGAGTAATAACTTCAATAAAACCACTCATCGAAGGAACCTGAATCTTGTTGTCAATGCCATACATCCATAAGGGAAATCCCGTTAATGTTTGCTTTCGCAAGCTAAACCTGTCTGTTCGATACGATCTTTATGAGAATACCGTCAGGCTTGAAGCCTGCATCAATATATTCCTGAGTCATGTAGGCCGGAGCAGCTACATCTGCAATCTGCGTACTAAAGGAACCGCCATCCGCTTGACACTTGAGGATGCTGTCAGCCTCCGGCTTCTTACCACCATCGATGGTGTCTGCAATATCGGAAAAGAGGACCGAGGAGTCGTATGTCAGGTTGGTCTTTTTGGCGTAAGCTGCTGCTGTGCCACGCGCATACAGAATCCATTCTCCACAGTCAGGCGCATCGGCCGCCTTCATGGTGAACACTATTAGTCAACGGGTTAGTAGTCTGCTTCAATTGGCATTTTTAACATGCCTGCTGGGCACGACCGTGCCTAGGTTACGTGAATAATGGAATTTATTAGCCCATACATCTACCAATTCTAGTCTGTCGACCATAGGCGCGAAGATAGCTTGCTATGAAGCTGACATCCTTTGGGTCGACATCCTGGGGGATGTCGTTCTCTCCTGAGTAGCAATGCATGTTGGGAGTTTCATCGAAGCAAATAGTGCGGACCCCAGCCTCAAACCCCGGGATGGTCGCCGGCAGTGCAACGGCACCGGTGGTAATAAGAAGGGCGGCATACTTGATCACGGCTGAGGAAAACAGCATATTGACAGAGTTTGTTGGGTTGCTAATCACTGATGAATGTGGTTTGATATCAAAAGAGAGTTGTGGATTGGACCTTTCATGGAGGAGAAGCTGCCACTGAAAACCAAGATACTTATAGCATTTTCATCAGCTTGCCCGTCAGCACTGATGCAGCTGGAATTCGGTACACCAACTCTCCAGCATATAGACGATGTGACGCGGGAGGGATATGCATGTACTTCCCCTGCATGATGAGGATGACTGCCACTTCAACTAAATGAGGTGGCGGTTTTTAGAGCGGACTCCTGGATGACCAGAGCTTGAGGGAGTGCGGCTCATCGGATCATGTTGTATCCCTACGTGTAGCCAATTCTCTAGTTTGGATTTCCAGAGGTTTGAGAGTGGAGCAATATCTCAACACCGCCATTTGATATCACCGGGCTACATAGCAGTTTGACGTCAGCCTTAGTGTGTTGGCCTTGATTGTCTTGCAGGTGGTCTTGCATATCAGATGGATGTCATTGTCTGGAGTGTAAGAGTCAATGGTAGAGGTGACTGTCAAAAAAACATCGACAGGTTTGTTATGAAGTGTAAGCTCAGAGCCTTGTCCGCAGTAGAGTGGAAGCACGGAACCCGGACGATATCTCGGCGAGATATGGAGGACTCGCTTACTCCTCATACTCCGTAGTGTTGCATGTGTGCTCTGCATATGACATCATTGGCTGTAACTACCCCAGGTAAGATCCATTATTTAGTTACCTAATCCCAATCAGGAAATAATGTCATGCTTCTAATCCGTACATCCATACCTCTCATTTTATATATGTCCGTGATTTCAACTTTGCTGCCAACACGGTTACATTCTGCAGCTTATGAATAGCTTGAATGTAATTTTATATATCTATTATTCAACAATCCTTCGCTATTAGGTGTTGCACAAACGTCGTTTATCTCTTAAAGCATGGACTTTTTTTCACTACGTGGGAGCCGACCACCTTGAAGCACTACAATGCATGTACTCTTTAGCATCAGGTGCGGCTAGTAGAAACCAGTTGACTTATTGTGCTACTAGTTAAACAATGCTACGGCTCGGCTAGTGATGGCCATGGGAATATGAGGATGAGTAATGGTGTGGTTGCATGGAAATCTAGATTCATTCTCCGAGACGTGGGGGCCGTCATCTCTCAGTCCCTGTGAAGAGGCTAACATCGGAGTGTTCTCAGATTATCCATGAATTCTCTAACCTTCTCCTCAAATAGTTTAGTTGTGGATCGGTTGCCTGCTCAGCCCACCGAGCAAACGGAGGTTCAGGGTGCCGAGAGATGATACTCTCATAGAAACTCATTTACTCCGAAGGGGCCATACACTCCCCTTGACTGCGCTTGACTTCCCTTGCTAGGTATTCTACAATTTCACCTGGGTATGTTTCAAACAAGAAACTTCTACAAGGAGCACCCTTACCTGCGTCTTACCGAAAGGAACCTTGTGTTTACTGTCGGAAATTGCGCTCACGGTTTCCTGGGCCTCGAAACCATGTCCCACTGTCCCCGAGAAGAGAGTGTGTTCAGTGGACGGAAAAAAAAAAAAAAAAAATCGCATCACTAGATAAGAGGTCTTTTTCCTCCATTCTGGATGGTGAGTAGTAAACTGTATTTTCTAGTCAGGCAAATTCGTTTCTGTGGCAAGAGAATATGGCTTCTCTGAAGTTGTTTCTTGGACTTCTGTTCTGCGTGGTGGGAAAGGCTAATTTATTGTACGATTCCAAAAGATACCCGAATCTTCCAAGTTATGGACCACAGGTGAATAGAAAACGACCTTGCATTGCTTATTGCCAAGCATGGACAGAATTGGCTGATTTTTCTGCGGTAGCCCAATGCCCCGTACATGGTGGACAATCAATACAATTACTTCAAAGTTGCACCAGATAAAGGTATGTCATTATCACCGGGCGATAGCTGCATGGAGTGGAATATTTTTGAAAATTTACATTAACTCGGGGATAGGAGAACAAAATGGGCCGGTGCGGCTTGAATCTGGTAGCTTTGAGAGCTACATATCAATGTTTAACACGCCAGATGCCAACTCAAAAAACCCTACTGGAGGTTCTTCAAACATTACTACCACAGCTAGTAGCTACTGGTTGCCGAAACTTGCGCCTTTGGGGAAGGTAAGTGCTTTCTCACGGTGCTAGACTACTGACTGAGCTAATATATATGTCTAGCAACCAATTGCAGGAAAAGACTATGAGTTCTACAGAGATGTTGTAGAGTATGGTGCAGACAATACAGGAAAGGAGGATGCCACAGAGGCAATAAATGCAGCAATTAAAGATGGCAATCGTTGTGGTTTGGAATGCGGAAATACCTTTGCACAAGGAGCCATAATCTACTTTCCAGTAAGTGAGTTCCTCTTCTGCAAGGCAAATTCATTTACTGATATAGTATTTCCTATTTCTAGCCTGGCACATATAAAATCTGTCGACCTGTCATCCAGCTATACTATACTCAGTTCATTGGTGATGCTCTAGACCCGCCTACAATCAAAGGGTGCGATACCTTTCAAGGCATTGCCCTTTTTGATACAGATCCATACATCCCTAATGGTAATGGTCAAAATTGGTACATTAACCAAAACCAGTTTTTCCGTCAGATTCGTAATTTTATCTTTGACCTAACAGAGATGCCTTTGACCACGGACGACCATGACCAGCCACTTGTGCCCACGGGTATCCACTGGCAGGTTTCCCAGGCTTGCTCATTACAAAATCTGGTCTTCAACATGCCGGAGGCGACTGACAGTAACAAAGTCACTCATGTGGGTATCTTCATGGAAAATGGCAGTGGCGGATTTGTCTCGGATCTAGTGTTCAATGGGGGTAATATCGGCTGGCGTGCTGGTAAGCAAATGAATTGTTAGGTTGACTATTCCTTTATTTCAGACCTAACATCCCCTCTCAAAGGTTCCCAGCAGTATACAGCAATGAACCTCAAGTTCAATGGGTGCCTCACGGCAGTTCAAATGATTTGGGACTGGGGCTTCAATTGGCAACGCATTGAAGTTGACGGCGGGGCAATTGCATTTAACATTAGTGGCAGGGGTGGTAGCACTGGACAGGGCATAGGCTCTGTTTCCATCATTGGTATGTTTCTATAATACATGATTGCATGTTTAAACCTGAGCTGACTTGTGCATGCAGACTCGAAGATATCCAATTGCCCAATTGCTATCTTGACCAACTCTCGCGAAGATAGGATCAATGGCCCCCCCAATATTGTTATTGACAATTTGGAGATGATCAATGTTGAAACAACAGTTAAGAGTGAGAATGGTGATGTAATCCTTGATGGTACTGACCATGTTGGCCTCTGGGCAATTGGGCGTCGTTATAAAGGATACAAAGGAACTTATGTTTCCGGTGATGTTGAAGCACCTTCAAAAGGGAAACGCTTGCTGGATAAAGATGGAAAGCTCTTCTATCGACCTCGCCCTCAATATGAAGACCTCAGAGTGGACCAATTTCTTATTGCCACTGAAAATGGCTGTAAGAATGATGGAACTGGTGATAACGCGGGAGATATTAATGCTTTTCTTGAAAAGGCGACTAAGGAACGCAAGATTGCATACTTCCCAGCAGGTATCTACAGAGTTGGCGGCACCGTATTAATTCCGACAGGCTCCAGAGTGCAAGGTTCCAGCTGGTCACAAATACAGGGAGCTGGATTCTATTTCAATGACATTCACAATCCACGCGTGGTAGTACAGGTCGGGAAGAAAGGCGATGTGGGTGACATGGAGATAGTTGATATGATGTTCACTGTCCAAGGAGCTACAGCTGGTGCTATAGTCCTTGAATGGAATGTGCATGAGGACAGTCAAGGATCTGGTTAGTCACATCATTATTTTGACTATCCCCTTTTCCGGCATAGGATGCAATCATTCTAACTTAGAGCCTTCGGGGGCAGCTGCTATGTGGGACTCACATGTTCGTGTGGGAGGAGCTCTTGGTACGGATCTAGATATAGAGACTTGCCCAAAGTTTGAGTTTAGTGATGCTTGCATTTGCGCTTCGCTCTTGTTCCACGTCACGCCTCAGGCCTCAGGTTATTTTGAAAATGTTTGGATATGGCTTGCGGACCAGTAAGTTAAATTCCTCCTGCTAATGTTCAATCTTATGAAACACAATAGATAGAGAGCTAATTTTGGGATCTGATCAGTGACAATGACATGAGTGTCTATGATTCCCCTGACAAGATAGCGAATCAAATTAGTATATATGCCGCTCGTGGAACACTGATAGAGTCTGAAGGGCCCTCTTGGTTCTATGGTACCGGTTCTGAACACACTGTCCTGTACCAATATCAAGTGTATGGAGCGAAAGATGTGAGCAACCAGATCAGTACAAGTATCATAAAGCCGTGCATAGTACTAATTGGATGTTTCCCAGATATATCTCGGCCATATTCAAACAGAAACTCCATATTATCAGCCAGTTCCTATAGCGCCTTTACCATTCTACTCTGCCAAGAAATTTCCTGGTGATCCATCTTTTGAGGAGTGCAGGACCACTGGCTGTTCAACTGCTTGGGGTCTGCGCATCATCAACTCGGAAGGTGTAACACTTCACAGTTCAGGATTATACAGCTTTTTCCAGGAGTATTACCAGGACTGCGTTCCAACACATAACTGTCAAGAGCGTGTTCTCGAAGTTAGAGGCAGTAAAGATGTTGCCCTTTTCAACATTTTCACTGTTGGAATCGTGGAAATCGGAACTGGAATAAAGTAAGAAGCCTTTTTTCATGAGTGTACCTAGGCACATAGACGTAACTAACCCTTTAATCTTAGCAACGGTGCCGTTTTTCAGAATGATTCAAATCAAAGGTTCGTTTGATGACTTGGATGTCTTTCCCCTGCAGAACTTGCTCGCTAATGAATGATCACTTCGATGCCAGTGGATTCACTACGGAAGTTAGCGTTTGGCTTCCTTTGCCAGGGGACGATGAATATGATATTGTTTATGTCGGTCCTGATGTGTATGATAATCCCTCAGTTACATGCCCTGCCGATTGCATTCTTGTGTTTCCGACTAGTTCACTTGCTTCACCGACAACCATTGATCCAGGTGACTATACAACTTCTCTTGAGTATGGACACCACGGCACAACAACCATTGGTGGGAGAGAAGTTCCCACATTCTACACAACAGTCACCACAATCACATTGGATATAGACCCAATCACTACAGATGGAATGCCCTACTCAAACATTAATATCACTGAAGGACAGCCAAGTGCTACACTCACTGTACTGCCTAGTGTTGATATTCCACCCATCCCTGTGCCAATGCCAGATGGAGAAGGGAAAACAACCACTCGGACTGTCACAGTTCCACCGTGGCCAGCTATTACCAGAGGACCACCGGAGAGCTGGAGCAATCCTAATACCTCCCCTACAGATGGCACCAAGGAAGGGGTTTACCACACTCCTTTTGTGACCACTGTTGTTGCCACTCATCCAACTGTCTCAACCCTTTCGTTTCCATCAACTGTTAGTCCGATTGTGGTTAAATGTCCTCCTAACTCAAAAGTTCCTTTCAATACTCCGAAAACAACGCCTACAATCCATTGTAGAGTGCCCACAACAGTGTCTGTTGCCTTCACTTGTCCTGCAACAAAGGTTG